ATGCTTTGCAAGCGAAGCAAACTGTCCCTCCGTAATAAGGGAACTCTACAAAACTTGCATACGCCCCGTCATGACGTATGCAAGCGTAATGTTCGCTCACGCGGCACCAACTTGAAGCCCCTTCAGGTTATTCAATCCCGATTCTGCAGGATAGCCGTCGGAGTACCATGGTTCCTGAGGAACGTGGATCTCCATGATGACCTGGAGCTCGACTCTGTCAGTAAGTATCTACAGTCGGCATCATTGCGCCATTTCGAGAAGGCGGCATGACATGAGAATCCTGGAAACTACATACCCGATCCTGTTGACCGAATGGTAAACAGTCGACGTCGCCCAAAGCACGTCATTACGGATCCTCCCGATCCATTAACGGTGCTTTTAAACACCACAAGCACCGGTCACCGTCCTCGTCGAACGCGTCGCTTGCGACGAAGAGCTCGACGAGCAAATTAACCCATAGACACAGCCCACTAAGTTTCTCGCCGGATCTTCTCAGTGGGTCGCCTTTCCGATCCGGTGGTAGATTCTGCGAAGCACTACTCTTGCTAGGGTCAGTGTTAGCAACACTCCGGTTTGAGCCCCGTGAGTTCACCTACACACCTATATCAGCATAGGTAGAAAAAAAAAAGTTGGATTACAAGATAAACTATGAAGCAAGCCTAACTCTACGCGTTCTGGACATCCCGATTTTTTTGAGTCATTCGACGAAAGCCTCGAAAAAGCTTTTGAAATAGTCAAACAGCTTTTGAATAAGTGAGCCGACTATTATCAAAGCCGGCAATGTGACTTTTGGACAATTATTGGTAAATCAGAAAAACGAATTATTGACTTTGTATTCCATTGGCAGTCACAAAACTCTTCTGAACGACATCTTAGATAAATAACAGGTTAAGCATTAACCTTTATTTAATGCAGTTTTTGAACCGTATTCTTTGCAGGAGACGATTATATTCAAATCAATCTGTATTGACATATCAATAACATTTTTTTGTCCAAATGCACAGATTGCCACCTTTGATAATAGACGACTCAAGTATAGTAACCGTTACAATTACAATAACGCGTCGGTATACAAGGCTATCAATATTAGATGCCTCAAAGTACATTTTATGATGACCAATAAGCTAAGACCATCCATTTTTGGAATATGCCTCGGAATTAGAGAAAACTAAATCTAAAAACTGAATTTTTTTGAAGACGTGAGCAGTTATCGCCTATATAAAATCATGCTTGCTACAAAATTACTTGTCTACTTAGTGACGCCATTAATATTGCTGTAAGGAGACCAATCTTTTATAAAAATATGGAGCTCATACAAAATCTCAATAGGATTCATCAATATAATCCTTTAAGTTTTGTCGATTGTAAGACACACTTTCTCCAATAGAAAAATCAACTCTGCAAATCTCTTGGAATATTTTAGGGAATACTAACTGCGTGGCGTTACGGTTCAGAGCATAACTTTTAAAAATGTACCATAAAACACAATGAAGCGGATGAGGACCAAAACTAAATTACGAGCAGTCTCAATATTAACTAATTACTCAATAATTAAAAATCTTCTGTAAATCTTTGAGCATATAGTCTTATAAAGGACTTATAAATGTTGTTTAATAGTAAAAAAAAGCTTCAATAACATTTTTTTTTCCTGTGACCCTATTCATTTTAAACTATCAATAAAGAATTATGAGTTAAGCAATGACCAGTGCCTCTCATGGCTACTTCTTCTAGATCGTTCCCTCACTGCTGAGGATCGCGACCACATGTGACGTTCTTCCACTGTGTTTGATCATGGGTGGCATAGACCGCATGGTACAGACTACCACCAAGTGCTTCTCTTACTAGATCTGACCATCTGGCTGTAAAACCTAAATTACCCTTTGAAATAAAAGCCGTATATAAAAAAAAATCCCTTTCGGACAGAATTTAATGTCGCAAACAGAAGGCGTTCAAGTATAATCATCAGTGGCCCGGCACTAAGATTCGACTAATTCGTAGCGTATGTAGAGTTTCAAAAAGTTTAATGTGGCTTTTCCCTAAAATTATGTTTTAATATCATAAGAATATGCTTATAATAATATTATAAGAATACACTACAAAGATTAGTGCGTTATTGAAAAAACAAAAAGAATACCTATTCATAAGAATGACAGACATTCCAAATTCAAACGTATTTTTATCTTATTGCAGTATTTATGGTCGGTCATACTGTGTATATCTTAAAGAGATAAAATTATCTGCACCTACCGGATCTAATAAATGTTGCATTTCATTTGGATCAGCTAAATCTTTTGATCTTTTGAGATTTTATCCTAATGGTTTTTTTAATGACTAAAATAATCACGAAAGACTCGGGATTTAAATTTAAAATTATTTATAAACCATGGATGCATGTTCTCTATAAATTTAGTTAGTGAATTCGTGATGGTAAACAAATTTTTTTTCAGCTTTTGTGTTAGTTTATATTTATTAAGAAAGTAAAAAAGTTGCGACTTTAAGATTTTCTAAATAATTCAATATTTTTAAATAAATGTTCCAACTTAAAGTAGGTAGTTAAATTATGTTTTCATCTGATTTAAAATATGACAGCTTTGAATGTTTATCACGCAAAGATGGCTGAAAAAATTACTATGAAATTTCGCACAAAGGTAATCTGGATTATTTCTGGTTATAAATTTGGTTATTTATTTATCTGGTTATAAATGAGACAGACACCGGATTTGCTAAATCATTATTAGCTTACGGACCAGAGACACAAGTAGTCTTTATCCTACGAAAATGCAATATTTTTCATTCTTCAAATAATACAACGTGGGCGAAAAAACGGCAGACACATTTAGAAATGTTAAAAAAAATTGCTTTGTTTGTTGGTTTGTTCGTGTTCTATGAATTTGGTTATCGTTTCTCCAATTCAGCTTAAATTTTGTTATTGTGGTTCTTCATGAATTTATAAATAAAAACATGGCAGATAGCGTGTAATTGCAACAAATATCTACGTTTTCGTTTAATAATAGGTTGGGGAAGAAGTCTTTTCGCATTATAATATGTATGAACTTGTAATAAAATCTCTTTGGCTATACTATTTGTATCTGGCTGGTTTTGGTATCATTAAAAGTTTAAATTTTAAAGAAGGTAATTCCAAATTCAAATAAGGAAAATGTGTGATTTTTATTTATTTTTCGTACTATCAAGATCAGTGAATCTAATGAAGAAATTCGATACATTTAAAAAAATTACTATAAAAATGCAACGCAAGCCGCGAAAAATGCGCGATGCGATGTTTATGGACCTAGTGCAGTGTCTGTGAGAGTAGCACAAATTTGGTTTAAGCGTTTTCAATCCGAAAATTTTGATGTCAAAGATGCACGTCGCTCTGGTCGCCCTATTACGGATAAAATGGATACCATTTTTGAAAAAGTGAAGCAAGATCGGCATATCAGTAGTTACGACGTAGCTAGAAAAAAACTGGGTACACAAAAAAGCTCGATATTTGGCTACCTCCCGAGCTCACTGAAAGAAACCTAATGAACCGTGTACTTATTTGTGATTCTTTATTACGACGTAAGACCATCGATTCTGAACTCTACTGTGAACAACTGATGAGATTAAAGCAAGAAGTTGAGAGAAAGCGGCCGGAATTAATCAACAGAAGGGGGTGTGGTTTTTCATCATGATAACGCAAGACCTCACACATATTTAGGTACTCAGCAAAAATTAAGAGAGCTTGATTGGGAGGTGTTAATGCATCCGCCGTACAGTCCTGACCTTGCACCTTCAGATTTCCACCTGTTTCCGTCTCTACAGAATTCTTTAGGCAGTGTCAGGTTAACATCACGAGAGGACTGCCAAAACCAATTGTCGCGGTATTTTGATCAGAAGCACCAAAGTCTCTATAGCAATGGTACCTAGATACTTTAGTTAAATGTAAATAAACAATATTAAAAAAGTTTTGAATTTTCTTAAAAAATGCGAGGAAACTTTTTCCCCAAACTATTATTTTGCAACAGTCACAACGAAATATGTACACGTTTTACTGATTTACTACAACGCAAACCTTACTAATCTACAACTACTTCACCAATTTGATCGTTAGTGACATCCATCTGTCATGGAAATAGACAGTGTTTTTTTTATGATATCATCATCATCATCAGCCTGGGGCAGTCCACTGCTGGACATAGGCCTCCCCCAAAGCTCACCACTGAACTTTTTATGATAAGGCACAATTAAAAAAATTATGCATAGAAGGAAATTTATTTCAGCTTCAATGTCAAGTCATATATACTTCATATAGTATGCTCTCTGTATATAGTCGATATGTGTACTATGTATATTCCTTATAGACTAAAAAACGTCTGGATTAGTTTCAGGAAATCTGAAGATTGGTCTAATTATGTGAGGTCAAACTAAAGATCGGTCAGCGGGTAGGATCGACTAGTAAACTGTACAAAAACAAATACAAAACATTGAAATCCAGTGTGCTGAATCACCAGCGAACTTGGAAAATCTCAGGTGAACGCGTCGCTATTTTGGTGCAACTCGTGAATACAATTTCGAGGTTTAATCGCTTTTAACTTGAACATTCTATTTCGAGTTTGCTCAACATATATACCTAAATTATTAGTAGCCGAATATAAAGTCCTGAAAAATTTCGACTTCAAATTTTAATAGATTTTCCGTGCTAAATACATGATTTTCAATTTAACTTCTTACATCTTTAGTTATTTTATCATTATTATACATTTGCATGGGTTGTACGTACAAATGGTGTTAAATTGTTACCAGAACCAATAGAAATCATGACGTGAGAAGAGGCCGAAGTCTCAATTGTATTGTATTACGATAATCCTACCCTCCGAGCCGCGATAATTATTTGCTAGGCGTTAAACGAACCGGTACCGACAAGGTGAAACCTAGGTTAAGAGAAAGACGACAAATATGTAAAAAATGGTAAAACATAAGCGAAATATAATGTTTATTGAATGATCGGCATGGGCGGGCGGCGCGGGGCGTCCTCGACGTGGCGCAGCATTCCGCCCGCGACCAGTGCGCGCCCGTCCCGGTCCGACACTCGACGTCGGCTCGTCCACGACACCACACTACCCTATTTAATTACGACCGTTATTTAACCGGTAAGAAGCTGTGTTTTAAAGCTAAGTCGAAGGCTGTGCCAAAAGTGTGCCCGTTACGAGGGATTTCTTCACCGTGCCGGTTATCCTGCAGTGCGTATCGCTGTCTCGCTCTAAAATTGCGCAATTCAATAGCCGTCTCGCTCATTCGTCTTCAGTATCCACCAGCTGAAGTTCAGTTTGCATTTCGTTTGTGATTAAAAGTCGAGATTAGCGGACATCTTATCTGGGTAACATTTGTTCAGCAAACACGTAAGTTACATCCAGCAATCATAAAAATGTGTATTAATTACCTACACTATTAAACAGTAAATCATGTTCGCTGGGGATTTAAATAATAAAATGAACATAAATGCAACTTTGATAATATTTTATGAAAGTTTTTTCATTGTTTATGTTCATCACAATTAGAAAACGTGTCGTGTTTATAATGTAAATATTTTTAAATAATTTAACAAGTATAATTATTTAATTAGTTGTTATTCATATAAGTGCAAGATGGCGTTGATAAAGTAATGTTTCCGGAAATAATGATAGATTTACACTGTAATTTGATTTTAGGATAAAGTTTTTATTTTAATTTTAATGAGAGTATGCAAGTGATTAACATTTGGGCCACGTTGGCGGGGCATAGCCCACCTGTCCGCGACAATACGTTGGATCCGGGAATGCCGTGAATCTGATCCGCCCGCGCCCGCGTTTCTATTTTCGGTCGGACTCGCCCCGAGCCAAATTTGCAATCCCGCCAAATCGAAACGCCTTCATTTATTTTTGTAACGGTTTCACAATTTTAGTTTTTTTTTTTCACAACTGATTGCGGTATTTTCCTTTGACCTTCGAAATTCGATTCTTGTAATACGATCTTATTATTATAATTATCGATATTGATTTAAAATAAACTGACATTGGCCTTTAAAACTGACCCAATTTTTAAATTAATTATCACTGAGAAAAAATATAGGTATTCGTCGGTATAATATTTATAAAAACACTGTCGCATTAAAAGATACGGACGATATTTGTTTTCTTCTTTAAAGTAACTCAATTAAACATCTAAACTTTAGTTGTAAAAAATGTGATGTTCTCTACTTCGTTAGGCCGTAGTTTTTTATTTTACTTTGCTTTAATAAGATAAAGAACTAAAGAAGCTATCGGCTTCAATATTATACTCAGGTCAAATTTATCTTCTATCTTTTCTAAACAGAGAGTTAGGTAACAGATCCAAAAAACAAATATAGTTTAAAACTTAAAAAAGGGAAAAGAAATAAAAAATAATATTTGTGTATTGGCGCTCCTGGTCAGGATATTAGCCAAAATAATAAAATTATTAGGTACATTGTCATAGGTTCTTGACACAAGTGTGATATTTAATGTTAATCGGACGCGGTTTTTGTGACTATTACGTTAAGAATTACATAAATACATCCGTTACAAACAGATCAAGCTAATAAAAGCGAGTTAACAAAGTGAAAAAATGCTCATGTGCCAAGACAAATACAGACAGGCATTATTATAAACTTACTTTCTTACTGACAAGTTCTCATCATACGAGATCGCAAACCGAAAATCATTAGAATCAGCTGATTTTTAGTAGATCAAATTACATTGCATTTTATTTGTTGAAAAAAACCGTAGTTAGTTAGGTATTTGCGCTAGGCATTTCTTACATGTCATCGTATCAATAATTTCTATTTGTATCGGTCCGGTGATTCTTGACTTCGTTTTCGTAAATAGTTTTCTTCTCACTAAATGAACTATCTGAACCAATTCACTGAAATCGATTGAAAATTCAAGTGTATTCAGTGAGTATATATTTTATTGCTTAGATGGGTGGACGAGCTCACAGCTCACCTGGTGGTAAGTGGTTACTGGACCCCATAGACATCTACAACGTAAATGCGCCACCCACCTTGAGATATAAGTTCTAAGGTCTCAAGTATAGTTACAACGGCTGCCCCACCCTTCAAACCGAAACGCATTACTGCTACACGGCAGAAACAGGGCGGGGTGGTGGTACCTACCCGCGGGGACTCACAAGAGGTCCTACCATCAGTATATAATATTATGCGTGTCATACAGAATCAGACATAGTGCTTATTAAAATGAAATTACCTTAATCTATACATGTTTATTATGTGATCGTCGTCAGGTTTGAGCCCCGTGAGCTCACCTACTAGTTAAGGTTACGCTGATATAGCCTCTCAAGGCTATATCATATCTATATAAGCAGCATAGGTAGGAAAAAAAAAAAAGTGATATAGGTACAATAATTATGGTACCGATTGTGTTTCGGTTGAGTATCTTTGAAACGACTATAAAAACCAACAACAGAATTCGGGTCTGTTCAACTCTAATTCCACTTGATACCATTGACGCACATCGATTGATTGAGATCTGGAATATTCTCGATTATATCAGGCTTCCATTGGTAGTAGTTGCCGTCACGGAAATATTAAATTCCTCATTACAAATTTATCCGAATTATTTCTTTAAAAGAAAAATGAGAGGGAAAAAAATATAAAAAATAAATATTTATTACTATATAACCTTTTACTATAATTTAAAATAAATAAATTAGTCTATGCCATTTTTTTATATAATAAAATAACAAAATACACTTTTGTGTTTATAATATAAATTCAAACATTATTTCGGATAATAAATTCATATTAGACATATATTATATTTAATTTTTAGAACAAAATTTAAATCGTTCACAGACTAGAAACGACGACGACTTGATCGCGACGTTACAAGGTCGCAAAAATCCCGAAAATAACTGCGCATTGAGTGGGTATTAGTAAAAATCAGTCGTTTTGATTTTCTGTCCGTTACCAGTTACGTTGGCCAGAATCCAAGTCCACAGGCTATTCCAAACGCCAGCCACCAACGAGACGGCTATTTGCGGCTCTGGTACTAACCCAGCGTACGTCACTGCTCTATTTAACAAGAACGAGCACACTATTGTAGTCAATTATGTCACCTGGACAGTCCTTTCACATATCGACAGGCTCAAGGTTAATGACGAGTCTCTGAGGGTTATCCGTTTCATTACAGAATACGAGCACGACATAGACCGCCAAAATGTTCAAAACACATTTAGACATGATTGGCAGAAACGAGACGCCGTCGAAGAAAGCCAGATTTTGGCAGTCCTTCGTGCGTTCTCTAAAAGGTACATTATTAAAGAAAATCCAGTTTTCAATTCTAACGGAAAACGGCTTATAATGTTTTTGTAACGTTTTACCTTCTGATCAGGTTCGGAAGACATCAGAGCCGAGGAAAGGTACAGGCCAACACGCCGCAGCGTTTTTCCCGAACTCCTGTCGACCTACCCTTACTCCAAGTCGATTTACGACGACCCTATCGCTGCCGCTGAGAGGATTACGGTACCCGGCTACCGTTACCTGCCTGTCCATCGCGAGATCTACGGCTACTCCCCGCGCCCTATCTATGCCCACAACTACCCTCGCTCCCTCGATTATTACAGGCCAAGTAAGTAAACAATCAACATTGCGTCACATGCTACACTAAACAGAAGCCAATCAATTACAGCTTTTAAACTGTACAAGGCGAAATTCGGTTCAGTGTTTTTGGTATAAGAGTATATAATGAAGAAGATATTTACTTCTGATGTAAAAAAGAAAATTTAATTAATAGCTATTTTTAATTGATATTTTAACTGAAAATAAAGGTGAAATAAGACTTGTTCACATTGTATATAGCCGTGCTTGAAATTATATTTGAAAGGTTTGACTCTGAACTTTTTTGAGCTTTGTGCTTTGTTATTAACATTGTAATCATAGTCCAAATATTAGGTATGTATATATGTTTCAATTGTTTCAGCCCGAAAAGTTTAAGGGGGTCGTCCAACTTAAAAACTAACTTTCAGTTTTCATGATTGCTTCATAAACACAGCTTTATAAATAAATAAATAAAAAATATTCAACGTATAAATGTGAAATTTAAGATCTAATCAAGCAGATTATCTTCTGTCTTTAAAGTTATAGTAATTACATATCGAAGATGCCAGTTTATATTGTATTTTGAATTTTGTTAAATTTATATAAAAATAATAAAACGTTTGATAAACTTATAGTAAAATCTGTTAAGAGCTCGAAGGTTGGTTTGGAATAAAAATTAATCGATTTAACATTACATGGAGTCACATACAGCCACAGACATGAACGTTATGTTTTATTTGTGATCGCATAAATCGAATTAGACTACATGGAAATATTAAATATCTGCAGATACATAAGATACGGAATTAACGGTAGGCAGCGGCTCGGCTTTGCCCCTGGCATTGCTGAAGTCCATGGGCGACGGTAACCACTCACCATCAGGTGGGCCGTATGCTCGTCTGCCTACAAGGGCAATAAAAAAAATATATGTATAGACTGTACAAACGTTACAATGAGAATTATTATTCTTAATCTAATTTGTTCATTATTATATATCTGACATTTCTCACTTCTGTTTTGTTCCTATTGTTCGTCTTTCTGTAGATATGCTTTTAGTCGCTACTAGTAACTCTGCTTGTGCAAGTATAGAAATTACACTATTAATGAATACTAATATGCATGAATACGAATAGAGACCACCTCTTTTATACATAACTGTCCACTTCACACATGGTATCCATGAATGTTAATTCGAACGTCATCTTTTTTTTTAAATGTATGCACCGATCTTCATGCGCTTGTCAGGTGATACATGCCTTTTATTTTTCCTCTTTTAAAATGTATTTGCTTATTAAGTATTATTTACTTCCGTATATTTTACCAAGCTTTCCAAGGAATGTAATAAGGAGGTGAGTTCTATCATTTTAGATTTTCTGTAATGAATGTTTGATTATTACCTTTATTAAAATATAATAATTGTAAAAATAAAGCTTCTGCGAAGCGCAATTAACCAACCACTAATTACTAACAAATTATTTTAGTTCGAGAATTAAGACTTTGAAATTATATTTCACAGAATTTTTGTATTAGAATGCAAGTTATCTCTATAATGTTTTTATTACAAGACTTAATTTATTCTACTCTTCTCTTTAACAAATATTAAAACCCCATATAAAGGACTATTAAGGTCGAAATTTTTTTTGTGTTTTTTTTTATCTGAAAATTAAAATTCCATGAACGAAGTAATTTAATGTGAATAATGTTTCACTAACTGTAAAAGTAATCGCAATCTCACTTATAAATTGCGGTTGTTAAAATTTGGTTTTTTGTTTGCAATAGTCTACCACGTGCCAAGACGCGTGCGACGTGGAGTTGATCCCTTCGACGCCCACAAGGCATGGCAGGACCATCTCGACAGGCTGGCTGCCATCGACCGGCTGTACCCATCTCGCTACGGACTCTACCTAAAGGACCGGGCCTACCCCATCACCGACCTTACCGCACCCCTCATCGACCCCCTTAAGCCTAAGAGTCTAAAAGGCATCGAATATGAGCCGGACAACAAGCCCCACTGGGGAACAGGNGATCCCTTCGACGCCCACAAGGCATGGCAGGACCATCTCGACAGGCTGGCTGCCATCGACCGGCTGTACCCATCTCGCTACGGACTCTACCTAAAGGACCGGGCCTACCCCATCACCGACCTTACCGCACCCCTCATCGACCCCCTTAAGCCTAAGAGTCTAAAAGGCATCGAATATGAGCCGGACAACAAGCCCCACTGGGGAACAGGTAAATACTAAGTCCCTATCATCGATAACATTTAAGCTAAGATAGATTAAGGTTGTCTCGTTGGTTCGTTCTTTACACAAGACTGAATCGTTTTGTCACCTTTGGTGTCTCAAGTTGACTGATAGTTTTTGTAAACGACGAAACAATGATTTGATTCTGATCCATGTCATTGGCTAAGTACGAAGTATACTTAATATTGCAATAAGGTTTTATTGATCGAATGGCAATTATTTTATCTATGTTAATAATATAGCGGATACCAAACGTAGCTGATTATATGGATTCAGGTTCATAAACTTATTAGGACAACATTCACCTATTAGATTCATTGTTCATTGAATCTAATTTGTGTGATATGAATTCCTTTAAGACCATGCAAATATTATTACGTTCAACATTAATTGTTAATAAATTAATTAAGCCACACGAACCTTTATTTATGTATAGTTTGTCAGTTCAAATTACATTGTTAAATTCATTAATATAATTTATGGTAAGTAAATTGGCTACTATTTCAAATTTTGGATACTTTTGGAAATCAATTATAATTTGTACCATTAATTTTGTATCTACATAAATTTGATACATTTTCGTTCCCTAACCATTTGTTTGATAGTACAAATTTTTAAATATTTTCACTAACATTTTATAAGTTATATTTTATATTAAAACATAAAAGACCAATTCGTGTTTTGATTTAGTAGAGTAGTACCTATCTTTATATTTATTATGTTTTGCAATATGAGAAAATTTCGTGGTGAAAGCAATTTACTATTTGCATCAATTTATTTAATCTCAATTTTTTGTACACATTTAGCAGAAATGACCCGTTTAGTCAATTTGAAGTACGAAATTTTCTACATTTAGTCTGTTTATGAGCAGACACCTACAATTAATAAAACGTGCATGAATCCTGCATTGTAAATAAGAGCAAAGCACTGTCATTGTAAAGTCTTCACTAGAGTAATCTCAAGCTCTACATGAAAACGTTACCTCCATATCGTAGTACATTCACTTTTAGGTAAAATGATTCCCAACATTTGTTTCAAAGGAGTTATTATAAATGTTCTTCTTAGAGATTATTTGAGATACATATTGACTATAAGACTTGCCATGAAGGAGCGTGGCCGGCGAGGATTTCCGACGTGTTCAAAAAGGACCCATTTTTCGCTGAGGCCGAAAAATGGGCAGGTTTTGATCGCTCCCTGCGAGGAAAATCTCCAACGCCAGTGAAGCCAAGGATTAGTCAACCGCGTGAGACTGAGGTCGCTTTCGATGCCGACGGTAAGGGCAACAGACCTCTGAACATCCTGAATCTTCGTCATGACCCTTGAATTTTGTCAACAATTGTCCGTTTGGCTATGTGTTCCATGTCCAACGTGTTCCCAACGAATGTGATATGAGTTTTAATAGTCGTAGAGCAACCAAACTTAGATGTTTTCAATGTATTTCTGAAGTGAATAAAAAGCGAAGACAACTTTATTCACGGATACCCACCTTGTTTCCATCCTTCGACCATGATGATAACGTGTAAAACCCAACTACACACATACTTTACCTGTGTGCTCATAATAATACTGATCTGCATGAAAGGTTGTGAAATAACTTAATATGTAAGTTTTAATTTCAACTAAAACTGTTGATTAACAAAATTAAAAATGTTAAATAAGTAAAGTTTTTAAAAGCTGTTCATAAAATAAAGACGGTAAATAATTATCAAACTTTAGCTTCACAATCTGCTTTGTAACCAATTGTATCGAGTCCATCAGAATATTTACTGATCGGTTGAGAAAATTCTATTTCTAATACAAATTTGAATAATTTGATAGAATATTAGCGTAAACTAATTTATCCGTAAATTCAGTTGGACTCAAAATATGTTTTCATACACTGTTGTATAAGCAGCTTAACGGTATCGGGGCGATGACGAAGAATGAGCAGGAGTAAGTCTGTTGTCCGTGTCAGGCACTAAATTTGAAGTTGTGGCGTGTAGGTGCACCACTGTACAGCGTTGGCGGACTACGACGCAGGCCTTGGGCTGATATTTTCAACCCGAGCCCGTCTCTACCGATCTCTGCAATCACTCGTGACCCCTTCTGGTACGACTGGCCGGAGCTGAAGCCGATCGCGAGATGGGACCGCAGCCCGTCCTACATCCGTGACTCGTATCTGTCTCCAGTCAAACGGACCTTCCTCTGGGACAAGCACCCGATCAGGCCGTTAGGTTAGTTTCACGCTGTAAATACGCCAAACGACATGCAGCTTCGTTGGTGTTTCAGCTGTAAAAAGCCTTTGGATCTTACAATCATCATAATCATTAATATTTAAAAGAAGAACTTTATAAAAAAATTAAGAAGTTTTTTTTTTCTTAGCACGTTTTATTACAGTAGAGTATAATTCATATTTGTTTAAATCATAACAGATTTAATGCTGGACGCCGAGCTTTCTGTGGGTGAACTCGGCAGGACTTTGCCATTCATCCGTAGCCTGTAATGCATTTGCAGCAGGTATATGGTATAATAGAACACCTCACGAGTTTATTAAGTAGACAGTAGTTTTCTTGTGCCGTCAATTTCATTTCACGTGTGTTGAATGGAAAATGATTTGAGACTTTCGTCTAGATTAGATATTTCTGTAGTCTGTGTGAATGTTTTACGAATATCCTAATAGTTATGACACGAAGCACAATGACGAAAAAAATTAAGTATATGTATCATCCGGTGGCACGTTCCTTCTCGACTATAACTATCCTGGTACCTGGTAAGACATTAAACCACTTTCATGAGTGTCTTATTGAGTTCATCTCTCATAGAAATTTAAAACACCAAGCCACTGCTTTGCTCTTTTTATAAAATGCATGTTTTGAATTATAAACATGAATGACTTTGTTTTCTTGCATTTTACATATTTGTAGATTATCTTTACTTTTTTATCGAGCACATGTCACTTATCATATTCATCATGAATTACTCAAAAAAATCTATTATTTAAAACTACTTTATCGCAAACATATAAATTTATTGAACACTAAAATAATTCATTTGTGTGATGTATTTTAATTTTGCAATACCAAATTCAGTTAATAAGCTTATCGTTTCCGTAACAATAACAAGTTTGTTAATATTCCTTACAGGGTGTAGAGAGACCGTTCTCAAAATCGAAATTGGAACAAATCACTACCTTAACGTAATTTAATTATATAAAATTAACTTATCAAAAAAAGCATAAATACTTATTGTTTTAGTAAGTAAATGTAACAGTTACAGTAAACGAAAACAACACAGTAAACAAAAACAGCTGGCCCATGTTTTAACTATGATATGATAACATCTTTTTTTCCCTACCTATGCCTTGAGAGGCTATTTCAGCTTCACCATAAAGTGTAGGTGAGCTCACGGGGCTCAAACCGGAGTGCTGCTAACACTGGCCCTAGCAAGAGCAGTGCTTCGCAGAATCTACCACCGAATCGGAAACGCGACCCACTGAGAAGATTCGGCGAGTATCTCAGTGGGCTGTGTCTATGGGTTAATTCGCTCGTCGAGCCCTGCGTCGCAAGCGACGGGTTCGACGAGGACGGTGACCGGTGCTTGTGGTACCTAAAAGCACCGTTAATGGATCGAGAGGATCCGTAATGACTTTGCGATAACACCAAAAGCGTGAACATGAATTTCGCTATGACAAGGTTGACTTGATTTAAAGTTACGATTTACTAAGCAAATACTATATTTCTATGACGACGTTTAGTGCTATCGTGTTGGAGATCAATACATATTGTGTTCGTTTTAGTAGACGGTTCCAACACACTTGGTGCACTGAATATGTTACATCAACAATCCTTTTGTATTATATATATTTGTGTTATATTCTTTTCCCCATTAATCATTACATATTATGTACTTTTTTAATTCACCAATTCTTTCAGAAATTTTTAATGTACAAGAATTATATTATTAGAATGAAATTGTTAATTAAATGAAGTTATTTGTTCATTTGTAAACTGATAGATGTGTGAAATAAAAATTACATAATGTCAAAGCATTGATAACTGTGGTTCTTATATTTATGTATATACATATTGTTTTTATGTTTACAGGTTAAATGGTATTAACATAGCTAAAATAGTAGCGTTTGAAAACACATTATTAGGTCCGATTCGGGTCACTTTGCTTTCAATTTTGCTAAAAGTTATTCACTAAACTTAGATTTTAAATGTTTCATGAAATAAATCAATGAAAAGATGATATGATAGATCATGAAATGTTTTATTTTACAGCCGCGGCTTACTAAGAGGCGGGTCATCGTATGCTGGAAACATCGAATAAAACGTTACCTACTTGAAAGTCGAAGCACCTAAACGTTGACTATGTTTAAAATTAAATGAAACATTTAAACTAAATGAAACTGAAAAATGAAAGTAAATAAAAAAAATATATATAAAGATTTTCCGCAAGATCTCAAAGACTGCTGCTACTCTTGTTTAAAAGGTTCAACATAGTCACTGCCACGGTAAAGAAATTGTTACACAAATCTTGTTTTTTGTTACCTTTAATTTATTTATTTTACTTATTCCAATTAATAAAAAATACAAAAGATAACAAAGTATTTTTTTATTTTCGTATAATATTTAGATAACAGGGGTATGGAAAATGATTCAGAACATGAAAACAAGTGGTTTGAATTGGAGCTTACCGTTAAATGTGTTAAAAAAGTCATTTAAAAAATTGTGTGAAAGGCCTTTAAAAATCTAAATTGCAGGTTTGCTACCCGTCGACCTTCATTGCGGTGGACAGAAGACTAGAAAAAAGTTATTGAATAATTAACTTCTTAAATAAAAATATGTACTCTCTTAATGGCTGCAGTTCGACAATATTCACGAAAGTAATCACTAGAAAACCTCCCAAGATTAATATTAGGGACCTATTGCGTTTTCTTTTATTTTTTATTCTGTAGGGACCAAACCTTGGTTTTAATTTAATTTTATTAATAATAAACTAGTCAAGAGTGACTAAACAACTAAGAAAATGTATTGACAAACAGAATGAAGAATAGTCCATAACTTTTTTCTTTTGTCTATTCATACTGTATATCAGGGATTCCTAAACTATTTTGGGCAAGAGACCCCTTTTCCAAAATGAGTTGATACCTCAAACCCCCATAGTCAAACTATTTTAAGAATTCTAACTTTAGTTTTTGAGTACAACTAACATCACTTTCTCATCAAAATTCAACAAAATAAGTACTTAGACAGAATTCAGTTCATATCTTGTACGAACTTGTCGACGTTCTTGTTAAAGTTTTTCATATTGTACGAAACTTATCGACTTGTTAACTTTAAAAAAGTATGGATATTTCCTACTAAAATGTTAGTCATTTTTATGACAAGGTAGTACAAGTAATACGACTTATGCAGTAACCTATCTTGATAGTTGCAAATAAGGACTTGTGTTAATTATTTTAGAGTCGATTTTTAGAAAAATCATTTTTAATTTATGTCGATCCCTGAGAGAGCAACCACTGGGAGTCCTCATCATAGATATGTGGATTGTGGCCGTAGCCATCATGGAACAGTTTGAAGCCAGTTCGAAGATAAGTTTGCAGATATTAAATTCCGAACGATAATATTTAGCAAGTCATTTCGGATCCTTCGACTATCGATGCTTTTAGACATTCCAAGCATCGGTCACAATTCTCGTCGAACCCGCCGAATGTGAAGAACGGTTCGTCGTGAAAGCTAACTCACAAACACAACCGACTGAGTTTCTCGCCGGATCTTCTAAGTAGGTCGCGATTCCGATCCAGTGGTACATTCAGCAAAGTACTGCTCTTAGTAGAACTAGTGTTAGCTAAGTATCCAGGCTGAGCTTTGTGAGCTCGCCTACGTGAAGCTAGCATAACCCCTACAACGAAATATAGAGTGATACATCTAATTATTTGAACAATACCATCTTTGTAATAATATGCATTAGTAAAGAAATACTTGTTTTATGATTAGGCAAGAATACCTGATAAATATTTTCAAAAGTCGTCGTGGCCTAAAGGATACCTAAGACGTTCGGTGCATTCGTATCGAGCGATGCAACGGTGTTCGAATCCCGCAGGCGGGTACCAATTTTTCTAATGAAATACGATACTTAACAAATATTCACGATTGACTTCCACGGTGAAGGAATAACATCGTATAATAAAAANGTTTTATGATTAGGCAAGAATACCTGATAAATATTTTCAAAAGTCGTCGTGGCCTAAAGGATACCTAAGACGTTCGGTGCATTCGTATCGAGCGATGCAACGGTGTTCGAATCCCGCAGGCGGGTACCAATTTTTCTAATGAAATACGATACTTAACAAATATTCACGATTGACTTCCACGGTGAAGGAATAACATCGTATAATAAAAATCAAACCCGCAAAATTATAATTTGCGTAATTACTGGTGGTAGGACCTGTTGTGAGTCCGCACGGGTAGGTACCACCGCCCTGCCTATTTCTGCAGTGAAGGAATAATGCGTTTCGGTTTGAAGGGTGAGGCAGCCGTTGTAACTATACTGAGACCTTAGCTCTCCCGACTAGGCGCGTCGACACCTCCGCCACCGCCATTCGCCCAATCACGATGTTCGACCAGCCCATACCGTGGGCCCCGAAGGTCAAATATTTAGGCGTCACCCTCGACAGTAGGATGACATTCCGCCCTCACATCAAGACGGTACGCGACCGTGCCGCCTTCATTTTAGGACGTCTCTACCCGATGATATGTAGGCGAAGTAAAATGTCCCTTAGAAATAAGGTGACACTCTACAAAACTTGCATACGCCCCGTCATGACCTATGCAAGTGTAGTAGTGTTCGCTCACACGGCCCGCACTCACTTAAAATCCTTCCAAATTATTCAATCCCGTTTTTGCAGGATAGCCGTCGGAGCCCCGTGGTTCGTCAGGAACGTCGACCTCCATGACGACCTGGACTTAGAGTCCATCAGTAAGTATCTTCAGTCGGCGTCGATGCGCCACTTCGATAAAGCGGCACGACACGAGAACCCTCTCATCGTGGCTGCCGGTAACTACATTCCCGATCCTACGGACAGAATGGAAAGCAGTCAACGTCGCCCAAAACACGTCATCTCGGATCCTCCCGATCCACTAACGGTGCTTTCAAGTACTTCAAGCACCAGTCACCGTTCTCGTCGAACCCGTCGCTTGCGACGAAGGGCTCGACGAGTAAATTAACTCTCAGACACAGCCCACTGAGTTTCTCGCCGGATCTTCTCAGTGGATCGCGTTTCCGATCCGGTGGTAGATTCTGCGAAGCACGGCTCTTGCTAGGGTTCGTGTTAGCATCGTCATCAGGTTTGAGCCCCGTGAGCTCACCTACAAACGTTAGGGTTACGCTGAAATAGCCCCTAAGGCTATCAGCTTAGGTAGGAAAAAAAAAAAAGAAAAAAAAGAGACCTTAAAACTTATCTCAAGGAGGGTGGCGCATTTACGTTCTAGATGTGTATGGGCTCAGTAACCACGTAGCACCAGGTGGGCTGCGAGCTCGTCCACTCATCTAAGCAATAAAAACAAATAAAAAATACTGATATTTATTTTTAGGTCATTGTACAAAAAACTCTACATTTACTGCTAGATTTATGTAGATACAAGGCTAGTTCGCGATGCTATTAATAAATGCAGGATTATTAAACGTATAAACCTAATTTTAAAAAACCCATACAAGGTCGCTTCTCGCGTTCCCGCTAAAAAGTCTTTATCGCGTACGGTACCTACCGTACCGTACTTACGTTGGAGCCTCTGGGTCTGCGGAGGAATTTCGGTTCCCTCTGTATTCTGTACCGTATGTTCCATGGGGAGTGCTCTGAGGAATTGTTCGAGATGATACCGGCATCTTGTTTTTACTATCGCACCACCCGCCACCGGAGTAGAGTTCATCCATACTACCTGGAGCCACTGCGGTCATCCACAGTGCGTTTCCAGAGATCTTTTTTGCCACGTACCATCCGGCTATGGTATGAGCTCCCCTCCACGGTGTTTCCCGAGCGCTATGACATGTCCTTCTTCAAACGAGGCTTGTGGAGAGTATTAAGCGGTAGGCAGCGGCTTGGCTCTGCCCCTGGCATTGCTGAAGTCCATGGGCGGCGGTAACCACTCACCATCAGGTGGGCCGTATGCTCGTCTGCCTACGAGGGCAACAAAAAAAAAATTAATAACGCCTTCGCAAGTAGCTGATTGCCACACCGAAAAAAACAAGAGCTTTATCACAAAAACTAGCTGATCCGGCAGACTTCGTAGCGCCTCAATCGATAAGTAAACAACCTCAACTTTTGTGTAAAATAAACTTATCTACTTTTTAAACCCTCTCTGAAGTTCCACAAATAATTCAAGACCAAAATAAGGCAAATCGGTCCAACCGTTCTCGAGTTTTAGCGAGACTAACGAACAACAATTCATTTTTATATTTAAATAAGATCAGATAGATTAAATTAATCAATAATTTGGGATTAAGGCACTTTAATCCGTTTTTTGTTTCATAATACATTTTGTTACCCTGAAAGTAAATTTAAACTTTATTTTGAATTTCAATTGTTAATTTGTCTGCAATTAATTATGGGACGAATTCAATGAAATAAAACTTTATAAAAACTTTGAATTTGTTCAATGTTACCAGTATTAAAAAAATCCTAAATTTTTGGTTCCTTATTTAGGGATAACAAACTAATTTGTAGCAGATAAAAAAATTTAGCAAACAGTAATACTATTTTCCGACAAAAAATATTAATATTCAGATTTTTTTTATTAATCTATGATTTTTCGGTATTTAAGGTAAATGTAAAACAGGGCCGTGGCCCAAGTGGTCGTAAGTCGTCATTGTTACTTATATACATCGAAAATGCTATAGACATACCCAAGTAGCGCTCAGGAAACGCCTTAGAAGAATTCATTGTAGAGTAAATTCCTCTTTGGACTCAGAGATACTAAAAGATCTATAAGATTAAGATTTAAGATCATCTGAACAGTCTATTCGATAGGAAAAAATATGATATGGTATCTCTGGATGAAGTAAATGAAATAACATATTATAAGTCCTTTGACACTATCTGCTTAATTATTCAATAAAAGTGATCATAAAATTAGTAGTAAAGTACTACTAGACAGTAAAATTTGATTGCCATAAAGTAGGTAATCGTGATGTTTTTATTTTATTTTTTTACCCTTTAATAAACAAAATAGTGGTATTTTTAGTGAATTTTCTGTATGGTTACAAAACTTCTTGTCAAATCTTCTTACCCGATTTGTTTCATAATATTTTTTAAAAAGTTTGGAGTTATCAGCAGCTTTCGACATAGTACTAACTCCTAGTTATATTTTAACTAAGCATAGAGCAAGCAGGAATGTAGGAGGATCATAAATTCAAATCTGGTAACTCCAGGCTCGTTATTTTCAAAAAATAATTAAAAAAAAAACAGTTTGAAACAAACGAATGTTAGGCCAAGCAAAATAAATAAAATAATTGTGATTATTGCGCAAACTACTGTAATTTTGAGTGATGTGAATTTTAAATTAAGTGTTTCGATCCATTTTAATCGCAATCAGTGTTGAAAAAATAAAGATGAGTGAAAATTTAGCAGATCTTGAAAACGATATTGAAATGCTGAATTCTGAAGTCCCTTTCGATAATCTCGTCATATTGAAAGAATTCGGAAACATCGTAAACCTTGTCAAGTAATTAAAATTATACACACTTAATATGTTATTTTAGTAATTGATAAGTAATATAAGAAAATATTAAATAATAAATTAAAAGACTTCTCAATCAAGCAGAAACAAGTTAATAATATCTTTTACTACTTTATTGTTAGATCCTATTTAGGAACAAATGCTTACAAAAAAAAAAACCGTAACTTATTTGACCACAACATTTGGAATTAACAACTTTATCCATGTTCTATTTTGTACATGGTTTTGACTCACAGGCTCTTCTAATTGGTAAAGCTTTGATTCGGTAAATTAGGATAGGCAGGAAAAGCTAAAAAATGCTAGAAAAATCCGTAAACTTAGTAGCAGTAGCCTACAGTAAATCCTACAATTTGCTGATAATAAGCACAATTTTGATTCAAAAGTACGTCACCTAGTTTTATTTGGTTAAAATGTGTGAATTGTATTAATTCATTAAATTGCTATGTCACAGAGATGAAGATTTTTTGGAAACTGTACCTAAAGCAAAATTGCGACGTGTAAAATGGTTACCCATGTTTAATTGCTTAAAACAGGGTATATTTGATGAAATGGTACAAGAAATCAGTAATATGTGGGAATATGAAAGTATGCCTGAAAAATTAGAAATTCTTGAAAAGCAGAAGGAGAAGTTTAATGATGTTGGAGACGGCAAAAAATTATGGTATGTGTAACGCAATACTTTCTGCCTGGTAAAGGTGCCATTTGGATTGTATAGGTTTATATCTATATTAGACAGCTAATTAATGCCAGATATGCTATTACACTAATCTTAGTTTGTTGCAATCAAAATGAATAGCAATCAAGCCAAAATAACACTATTTTACAAATATGTCATCTCCAAAAGTTTGATGGTACAATAGAAATAATACTAACTTTCCTGAAATAAATTATATTAAATTATGTAAATTAAACTTAATAATTGCTAACCGAAAAGTATTGGACATGTGATCTGTTCAATTAGCCATAAGCCAAACTCTGTAGTTTAGCTGCTCTTTTTTCTGATCTATGTTGTGGACATGCACAGATAAACTGGCTTTTATAAAATAATGAAGGTCTAGCCAGTGCGGGCTCTTGTTCTAATGCATTGTATACACCTGCTTTTAAGTTGCTTTAAAACATTATCTTAACAATAAAAACATTTGTCTGAAGTCTGATTAGTGTTGAAGTTGTTTTTATGCTTGTTTACAATAAAAATATTATATTAATTTTATTTCATGCAAAGTGGACAGTAATCGTTTTGGTTGACCATTAGGCTCATAAAATTTTAAAATGAATCCCTTTTATGGTTTTGTACTAGTATCATAGTCCTTGAATCCCGTCATTGGTTATAATGAAACCCATACATTTTACATAATAATATATAATATACTTCTCACTTCTTCAAAACTAATTTACACAGCTAGTACTTACAGCAGATAAACGGCAGTTGATTAAATTCCTCCTCACATCGTATTCCGCAATGGTAAAGGTTGTGACCACCCTTCTGTATCACTTTCTCTTACACAATCTATCTGTTTTTGTTCTTGGTGGTGTGGAGGATGTTGTGGAATGTACAGTCAAGAGCAGTGTGGATTTGGTCAGACCAATGTATTGGGTTAAACCCTCAAGGCCTGTACTGGTCACGATGAGTTTCTCAAGGTTTCCATTCCATTCTTCCTTGTAATGTGACTGAAGTATTCAAGGATTCTACAAACCCTAGTTTACCCTCCATGGCGCGCACATGGCGGTACCTGGGTCCCGCCCCAGCCGGAGTGGAGGAGCTCTTTGGGGTTTAGTCGTTAAGCTGGGCGGTTTGGCGCGGAGTCCGACATAACCCGGTTCGACCCCCGTCGGCTGGGTATCCGTAGACTGGGATTCCCCATCGATACAAAAAAAAAAAACTTCCCTAAATGTGGTGTGTCTACGAGAACTCAAAATCTTCTAGTGGCTGTCATCCAAGTGTATTCGCAGAGTTGATTAAATTTTGCCAAAAATCCATCGCACCTAAAATAAGCAAACCAACACAGTCTACCTCATAGCATAGGGTTACTGGAACTTATAGATACAAGTGTTTTAAATGCCCACCTTGAGACAATAGTAAACTAAAAAATAGGTGGTGTAATTGTCCTAAGGACTGATATGGGACATGAAATAATATTATTTTCAATGAAACAAAGTTTTCATTATGTTCATACAAACTTATTCCCTTATTTCATCTTTATGTATCTAATGATATATATCTACTATCACCATGTCCCAATTGAGAAAAATTCAACATGGAAAACGAGTGACTTCATATCCATAAGAGAAATGCAAAAATTTAAAATTTGTCTCATATTGGAGAAGGAATTAAATCCGATTTTTTTATTGAGATTATTTAACACACATTCAATCCGAGCTACAATTGCCTCTTATGTTCTGTTTGATGCAGTTGCACTTTCGTCATAAAAAAAGGGTTAAATTTAAGTAGTAGTTGCTACTTCTACTTTTTCTAATAACATTAGGCTCAACGAAGAAGCAATTTATTAAGAGAGACAACACAAATCAGTGCAAATATTTTTGCAATTATTACTTGCATTACATAAAGCTTGATTTATATTTATGAAGGCGATCTTTTCACATTTATATATTGAAAATTTAGCATTTTAACTACGAATGTTAGTAGTAATATTTGTTTTATATTTCAGGAGGCCACAATTAGGAGATGTGAAAGCACAAATGAAAGCCAGTGATGTACAAAATTTGCAAAACCAAAAGTCTCTACTTGAATCCTTAGCTAAAGAATATGAAATGAGGGTCAATAGGTTGAAGAATGTTATTTCTGCCAAAAGAGGCTATTTAAAAGCTTTACAACTGGACTTACAGAAGTATAAAAAAAAAAATGAAGATTTCTTCAGTAAAATCAGCAAAAAGTTAGAATGTCATGATACTTTTGTAAGTGATATGGGCAACAATAAGATAAATGTAGAAGAAGAAAGTTGGACAGACAAAGACTTACATTTTGATGAAATAAAGTGATTGCATAATAGATTGAATAAAATATATTTCAGAAATTTGTACATGAACAAGTTACAATAAAGTCTAGCAATGAATTTTTCAAAGAGTAGGTGAAAGATGTGCAGAGCAAAATATATCGAGAATAGCAATAGCATTACTATCTTAATATACAAAATGAAATATTATTAATTTAAAATACTGTAAGTAGACATACAATAAATTGCCTTTAATATTAATGTTGAATGTGAAAAGTTTAGCATTTTTTGTGAAAATTACAGAATGTCAAAACAAAATAAACAAATAGTTTAAATAGCAATATTTATTAATGAAAAATGTTAACATAGCTAAAAATAAAATTGTACAATGCAAAACCTGCATATAATTTATATAATATTTAGCAATTGCACTATTGTTGCGAGGACTACACTGCTTCTACTTTATTTTAAATAATTTAATTTGAGACTTTCATTACAGTATAATTAGACTGACAAATAAGCCTCGGCCGGGGAGATCATATACTTTCCTATAATTTTGACTGCTACTTATTTTAACATTAAGAATAATACTGAGAGCAAATTAAATTTTATTTCACTGGATATTCTCTCCTAAACATATTTTTGCAATGGAGTCCTGGGTACTAACACTTAAATGCTATGACAAATATAAGAAGGTAAATTGCATGTTTAGGCCAACTTCACAGAAGGACTAAACCATCAATAAATATTTAAACTACAACAAACATAAAATTCATGTTGACAACTATGGACGAACATTGTTTTTTAATTATTGCCTATTCCATACAAGAATTTCTCAAATCATTTAATTTTCGTCACTCCAGACTTATATATAATTTACATTCATAGGCACATTAGATATAAAATAAATCAACCAAATGTGCTTCCGATCCTCTACTTAATAGATTACTTTGTAAATGTAATTACGCTTCAGTGTCCAATGCCCGCATCTCGAAGTCAGCTGCCACTTTTCTGATAAAATATGATAAATGATACGAAACAATTTGACTATAACATGTAGACGATAGATAACACAACAGGGTTCAGTACCAATTAAAGGGCTGCTAGGTAGTACTTCAGGGATCGAAAAAGCATGTCAATGTGACATTGCCGAACGTGTCTACTCATTAATCCTCATGAAAGTTTAACAAAACAAATTAATTTCACTCATATTGTGTAAACGTAAAACAAGAAGGCACAAGTAATTGATAACATATATTTCACAAATTTAAGACACATTGTCCGGCCCTGTCCAATGACCTAATAATAATAATTATAATACATGATATAATTAATTATTTGTAGCATTCCTCTCACTGTGCAGCACACTGGATACCAAATGTCAGTTATTTTTTCTTAGGTGGTGACCTTTGAGGAGTAGCTGGCCTTCCACTGTTTATACCATTGTACTGGTATTTTGCTTTTTTTTCAGATGGTTTAAGAATCTGTAAGGGATATGATAATTTACTACTTCATCTGCATATGGTAAATCTGAAAGTTCTTGATATGGTAATCATGTTACCTGGAAGGAGCACATTAGAGTTTCATCAACAGACATCATTCCACCAGCATTATCAAATTCTCCACAGTAGTTGGGTGCAGAGAACAAAGTAACCAACATTCGTTTGGCGAAAAATTCATATCCATCTTCCACCACCTGAAACGAAAACATCATTTTAATTAGTCTGAATTGTCTGACTTAGCACCATATTTAAGAGGTTATTGGAGTGGATATCCATCAGTAAGTATCTTCAGTCGGCATCGATGCGCCACTTCGATAAGGCGGCACGACACGAGGAGAACCCTCTCATCGTGGCTGCCGGTAACTACATTCCCGTACCTGCGGACAGAATGGAAAGCAGTCGACGTCGCCCCAAACACGTCATTTCGGATCCTCCCGATCCACTAACGGTGCTTTTAGGTACCTCAAGCACCGGTCATCGTTCTCGTCGAACCCGTCGCTTGCGACGAAGGGCTCGACTAGTAAATTAACCTTCAGACACAGCCCACTGAGTTTCTCGCCGCATCTTCTCAGTGGGTCGCGTTTCCGATCCGGTGGTAGATTCTGCGAAGCACGGCTCTTGCTAGGGTTCGTGTTAGCAACGTCGTCAGGTTTGAGCCCCGTGAGCTCACCTACTAGTTAAGGTTACGCTGAAATAGCCTCTCAAGGCTCTCAGCTTAGGTAGGAAAAAAAAAGAAAAGAAAGGAGTGCATAGACATAATTTGTCATATACATATTTAACTATTAAGCAAGAAATATACCTAAGACAGACAAGTAACAAGGTAGAACTAGCTTAAAGTCTTGTGTCTTCCAATAAATATACTATAATATTTAAGGTCCTCTGATCGCAATCCTAAATATGACAGCTTGGCCTATCAGATTACATTTATGTATTTGAGAAAAAAAATAGATATACTTAGAATAAGCCATTAAGTGAATATTTTTACCTGGTGAGCACGGCAAATCAAATCTAAATCATGCCTGTTGAGGAATTTACTGACGACGTCGGGTCCGAAAGTAAACGAGACGCCGCGATCGTTTTCCCCCCAACCTTGAACATCCTTATCGGGATCTGACCACAGCAAGTCACAAAGCAATCCTGCAGACAAATTTATTTATTTTGAATAGGAATATACTTACTAATTTTATTAACACGAAATGATAATTTACGAGTAGGTACTTTCTATGTTATAGCTTTAACTGCTGAACTTTTGTTTTTAATTTTATGACGAGGTCGGTGTTCTGCACCGTAAAATAATACTAGCAAAACACAGTACGACATTGGTTATTACAAGCCGTTTCAGTTTAGTAGTTTGGAAGAAATCGACTAATAGTCACAGAGATAACGCCTTATATTCTCATTTTATACTTGGATCGGTATCAAGTTCTAGTCATGGAGACGCAATGGCAGTTTCGTACAAGCAGCTTAACACCGCAGGAGTCATTGATGGTCATTTTACCACTGCTAAAGAGCGTGTAAGTAGTTCATGTAGCAATGTTATTTTTTTTAACTAAAGGCTTCTTATAGTCTCCTACCAAATCCATCCATCCCACTCCACCGAGACTGGCTAATGAAAAATTGTGGTTTTCTTAGCAACCAACTTAACATGCATAATCCAGAGGAGGTAAGAAGCACGATCGTGTGCCGGTTAAATACCATGTAATCACGGCATTTCGGATCCGCCCGATCCACTAACGGTGCTTTTAGGTAACTCAAGCACTGGTCATCGTTCTAGTCGAACCCGTCGCTTGCGACGAAGGGCTCGGCGAGTAAATTAACCTGAGGAAAGACGCTGTTTCTCACCAAAAAAAAACTATATAATCTGGCACACTGTGTGCACTGATAGCCAAACTCTAATCGAAAGTCGCGTATGCAGTATACTAAATTAGATAATTTCTGAACAGGCCTTCGTACTCGCTAGCTCCACTCAGGTGGCCTTGTATACATTTCGTGTTTTAGTAAGACTGTTACATTCAGTGACGCTGTTCTTTGCTGGTACAATAATAATCGAGTTGCTGTCAGTTCCTTGTTTTACTTTTGGTATCATAATTTACTTTTTTGTTTGTATTTGCGACCTAATCAATTTTTTTTTTTCACATTGTAAATTGTGAAATTTTGAGTTAAAGTTTTAAAGTCATTGTGACCTAACCAATGTGAAGCCAAAGCATAATCTGAATATTGCTTCAGCATAAAAAAATCTTGAACGCAAAGGATTAATAACCAGGGCTTTCCTTAAATGACGCTTTTTTTACTTGACATAAACTTTACAGACAACATCTGTGAAATCATAATTTTTTTTGTTCTAATTTACCTACCTGTATCTGGAACATCAGTGGGTCGCATTATTCTTCTGATCTGTTCCATTCCCTGTAAATCTGGAGACAAACCACCATGGCAACAGAAAATCTTCTCATCAATTATAGCAGCAATTGGCAAGCAGTTAAAGCAATCCGTGAAAGTCTTCCACAGTTTTATATTGTATCGGCGTTTGCACTCGTCATAAAAACCTGTGTAAATGTTAAGAAAAATTATTAATTAAACTTAAGCAGTTATAAAACCTAATATTGAAGTAAAATTAATTGCAGTATCCATGACCTATCTGATAACAACCTAATGTACTCTTATCAAGTGTTGCAACTATGCCAGCATTCAAATGCATGTACATTTTTACTTAGTAAATATGTAAATAACAAGTGTTCACAAATAACTTCCATGATAAGAGAATAACATAATATAATAAAATAAAAAGCCCACAAAAATGTGTATTTTCAGTAAGTGAATCTGCACCGGTAGTTACTACCATCATATTTTTGCTGCAAAATACTTATACATTCCAGTTTGGATGATGGGACAATATTCTGTAGTTTATAAAGACTTTGACCTCACATCTAAAGGCGAGTGGCAATGCTTACATTGTGATGTCTTAATGACTTAACGCCATGTCAGCCCTGAGCCAATTAGAACATTAAAATAATGTGTTGACTTACCATAAATGCGGTTTATGCTAGCACACTCATGATTGCCTCTGAGTAGGAAGAAATTCTCAGGGTACTTTATTTTGTAAGCCAATAGGAGACAGATAGTCTCCAGTGACTGTTTACCACGATCTACATAGTCACCAAGGAATAAGTAATTGGCTTCTGGCGGAAATCCTCCATATTCAAAGAGACGTAGCAAATCTGTGTACTGACCATGTATATCACCTGAAAATGTGTTGGTGACAGTGTTCACAAGTACAATTTTATGCTTATGTGAAACGGTTAAACACTTAAATAGTAGCCAAATTAGTTTAGTTATTTGATAATCCTGGTTGAAGGTCACAAGATATTGGAAGTTTTATAATTATTGTGTTGTCATCAGTCCTAGATACACGTACAAATTTTCAAATTGATCAGAAAACTTCAGAGGGTAAATATTATGTTGAAAGATTTAGTTACATGAAGAGAGAGTAAGTGAGTGAGTGAGAGAGAGAGAGAGATATATATAGAAATATACCTAGATAGATACAGATAAAGCTAATAAGAACAATACCTTATAGATAACTTGGGTATAAAATCTTAGCAAGAAGTAGGAAGAAGTGAGACACAATTTAATTAATGTTTTTTTTTTATGTGGCACTTAAGCTGCATCATGTATGCATGCTAAGGAAAAAAGTTAGTCTTTCATAATTTCATAATGAGAAAAAGGGAGGAGAAAAAAATCTTTTATTTATATTAAAGACATTTAAAAAAAGGTTTGTTTGTTTGCTGTCTGTGGGTCTAGAGCTGGCTAGATTGTAAAAAGTGTGACAATGAAGAATGACACCAAACACTGACATCTTTTCTGAATCTGATCTGATCTTCATCTGATTTTTGAGGCACTTCCCGAAGACCTAGGAAACTGAAACTTCTATTTTCAATATTTTTTTCTATTCATTCAGGTTGGCATTAATTTTGAGAATATGCATTTATTTTACATATTTTTAATAAATAATAGTGATTTTTTTTGTTCACCAATATTCCAAAAAAATTTCTGCAATACCACGTTTATTCACATTTCATTTACATGCATGATTGCTTTGCAGGAGGTACAGAGAGGATTGTATTAAATGCTAGGGCTAGGTAAGTATGCCCTAATACCACCAACTACAGAATTGTCTTGCAGATAATTTTGGATAATGGTTATTCTATTACAGCTCAGGGAATGATTCCAATACTTATTTTAAATTTTATGCTTTAATACAGGGTGTATTAAATCATAAAAGTTTAAATAAACATAGTATGAATGAAATAACAAACTTTGAAAATAGAATTTTACTTTTGAAAGTAGCTTAGGTTCATGAAATTAAATAAGCTAAATAATTATTTTTAAATCTCATTGTTACTGGTGTAAGATATTTATATTTCATTAAGAATGTTTTTAATTTAGTGAAAAAAAGAACTTTTAAGACTTTACCACAAATTTTGAGTGGTGCCTCCAACTCCAGTAATATGGGCTGCTGCAGGAATATTTCTCTGGACTTTGTGCAGAGCCCACGTACCTCTGCCTCCGACATTTGCACAGTCTTGCCAGGCCTGCATCCTCGAACTAAGGTAAAAGTTTGAAGTCAAAATAATAAGATTTATTAAAAATATAGATTTGTTTAAAACTGTAGTACAACTAAAAGCAATTAAGCACTCTTAGCCTTTTTTTGTTTATAATTTTATTCTTATAAGTAGCTAAGGAAGCATAGTTAGTATAGTTTTCAATTTAATTTTATAAATTTAATTGAATGGGTTTCAGTTTGCCAACTTCTAACTCAAAATAAACAGAATGCTTTTCATAACACAAAAAACATTTATCAAATGCAAGGGTTTTATTAAATGTTATATTTATGACATGTAAGGCATGCAGACATTTTCATGCAAAATACAATTTAACTACCATTCCTAGAATGAAATTTGATAAGAATCTAACAAAACAAAATGTATTCAAGTATTGATAAATTTATAGGCACACAAATCAACAAGCACTCCTAAACACTAGCACTCAGTATCAAAATTGATCACCAATATAATCTCAAAAAGTTATTAATTTAAAAAATTTGCAAGATTAAGATCAAGTTTTTATCTAAATTAACATTATACAGCTGTAAACACAGATTGCAAGACCTTCCTATAAAATGGTTTAGCGATCATAGTTTGTATATACTTGTGGCTATTTTTAGATTCAATTGAAGAATGAGATGTTGATGGGTAACACATGATATAATTATTGGGAATAAACTTTCGGTTAAGACTGATCACTAGGGTAGTAAGAAATAAACGTTCTAGCTGAATACTCTGGCAAGAATTTAGAATGTGGCCATACATTCTCCTGAAAAGATGTCTTTCAATTTGCCTTTCTTCCTTGCAGTTTCTTGTTGCAGTCTGTATACTGTTGTAACCCATCAAAAAGCAGCACAATAAAGTGAAATGTATATGTTTGAATCAAGTAAGCAATGCGTAACACTAATAAAAGAACAATAAGTTTGTGAGTGTTTAAATCTATGGAAGTCTGACATCATTGTTCAGGGCTAAAATCTAACAACTATTGTTTATACGTAAATCTTCCCTTCTAATTGAAAAATAACATATCCAAGGCATTTAAACATTAACAGAAACGCTATTATGCAGCCTGATAAGAAATTGAGGATAATCGATTTATTTATGAGGTTGACGTTTCTATGCCTTCTTATTCAGAAATAATTACGCAACAAGGACCAGCTGAATGAAAACCCAATATTATCAGACTTGCAACTAGACGTCTGGTAGTTAAGAGAGGCTCACAAAATCGTAACAAATTGCATTTTACCTTCCAAAAGTCTGTGAATTAGACTGTCAACATTTAGTTCGTCAGCCATATTTACTACACGAATAAATTTATGTCAAAAAGTCAAATGTTTTTTTCTTCCTGTTTGCTCTTATTGTTTGTGGTTAGAATTACTCTTCATAATACGCAGAACTTGTAAAGAAGTAAATAGGAGAACAATTTTATGTTTAAAATGGTTTTTATCGTCGCTTCTCATTTATTGTGTTTTATGGATAGTTACTTAACTTAAAACATGTCCATTGGTAGACACAAAACGTTAAAATAAAATAGCATTTCAGAGTAAGTTTCAGGTACAATCCAAGTACTGCAAAATGATTCATATTTGGTTTTTAATCGGTTTGGTTGGAAATATACATATCTGCAAGAACGTTTTGGGTTCCTAGGTGAGACGTATAATTTTTTCCTGTGTTTGTTTGCTAATCATTTCCATGCTGTTGATTTATTAAGTATATACCTATAAGTAAATTAATATATAAAAGTATATTGGGACCTATATAAGTGATTAAGGTGATTTCATATTGTGTAAACGGTCTAAGCATATATACTATTTATTGTACTGTGTTTGAAGTCGTCGTGGCCTAAGGGATAAGACGTTCGGTGCATTCGTGTTGAAGCGATGCAACGGTGTTCGAATTCCAGACGGGTACCAGTTTTTCTAATGAAATACGTACTTAACAAATGTTCACGATTGACTTCCACGGTGAAGGAATAACATCGCTGTAATAAAAATCAAACCCGCAAAATTATAATTTGCGTAATTACTGGTGGTAGGACCACTTGTGAGTCTGCACGGATAGGTACCACCGCACTGCCTATTTCTGCCGTAAAGCAGTAATGGGTTGCGGTTTGAAGGGTGGGGCAATGAGCTCGTTCACCTATCTAAGCAATAAAAAAAATGTATTTTTTTCCTTATTAATCTATTCTTAATAGTACACCGCAACATATACAATACTGTATCTTAATATTTTGAGAATTTCTGTAAATAAATAGGTTGTCTGGAACAGATCGCTTTTAGTGATAAGGTCGCCTATTGTACAAATATATCTACTTGTTGATTCTTTTTTAATGTTACTTGTGTTTTGGCGTGCATTAAAGTATATTCGCTCGAGAGATCACTTTCCATGAAATTTAACATTATGGGGGCCCATTCGTAAATCGTGCTCTATTAGCTTCAAATTGAAATAAAGTAAAATCAGCTGAATTATTCAATTAGTACCTTTTTTACTCATCGTTTCTAAAGTTGTTTTATGCATTAAAATGAAGTATTCATCCGATAATATTTTTAAACTACTACTCTAAAAACCATCGAACTTGGAGTCGTTGCGTTTCCAGAGATTGTTTTTTCCACGTACCATTCGGCTCGATACTTAATTTCCTTCTACAGTGTTTCCTGAGTATTTCAAACTGGGCTTGGAAAGAGTTTGTAATGGTACACAGCGCTTGGACTAGCATGTTGAGACAAACTTGAATATTGCTCTGCTTTGGAAGGCTTAATAGATTTATTTAAAGATTACAATTGACAGCCATACCGGTATAAGTTGCAAAAACAGTTATTAGTTCTGTAGTAGAAAGCTCATTCTATATAGTCTGATACAAAGGTGTTATAATTTCATTATTTTTCTCTAAAATTAATCAAAATCAAATTCACAACTACTTTTAGATTAATAAGTGGACAAGTTTATTTTTATTTTTGGTCATTGTATTTTTTTTTGATATTTTGTGTTTTGAGCCATCGACTAAATTTGACTTTTAGGCAAAGACAACACTTGTTTTATTTTTAAATTCCATTCTGCGGCCAAAATGTCGCTGATCTTGATTGTCAAGCTATTTTCTCATTGCAATGTTCCGTTCTGGCGTATAGTATGTGTGAAACACCGAAGTTTGGCGTGTGCGTTCTATTTTATTTTAGACAAGACTTGACGGCTATTTAAAAAAACTTCATGGCTCTCTACTCGATTTTGTTTTGCCATAGCTCGGAAATTTCGTAAACAACACTTACAAAACAACGCGATAATACAGTGAATATGATTGAAAATCTACATTTGAGTATGTGAAAAGCCGAGACATCGGATCAAGGTTGGATATAATTTGATCACCCTGGATACGAGATGGATGACAAGATGGAAACTGATCATAGCTATAGTGGAGAGAGCAGTAGCTCTACTGATACTTCCAGCGGGAGTTCTGAGGGCGATGAAGAAGAGATGGAGCCGGTACGGATTCTAGGACATAGTTTGGAGCTACCTCAGGAACTATGCGAAGACTATTCACTATTCAAAGAGTTTTTTTCTACGAAAACTTGGGAATCTTTAGATGAAAAACACAAAGAACATTTAATGAAATTTTTACCAAAATTCACGGAAAATCAAGAAGAGGAAACAACAAAAACTATAGAAATGCTTTTTCATCATGAACCTTTTCATTTCCAATCACCTTTCAGCACTTTCTATAATAATTTAAGGCAGGGAAATTACAGACCTGATATAGCCAAAATGAAGAAATTTCTTAAAAAAGCAAGGGCTAAACAGCAGAGGCATAGGGTAATCGATACTTAAAGTAATATAAAACAAAAATAGACGAATATGTCAATTCATATTAATGTGTTCAATTTCAGATAAAATCTTATTATGCCAAGTTATTACCTGAAGTTTTGCTATCACGAGAGAGGTTATTAGCAGCAGTTAAAGCAGCTCCACCTGGCCCAGCACCTAGAATTCCTTCATTGCCGCCAAAATCATCATCAAAAAATAATTTCAAACCATTGTACTTGAGAGCCAAGCAAAGATATTTTGAAGAGCTTGCAGCTATTAGAAGTGAAGTAGGGGGTGATGAGTCTGATGATGAGAACTACCCTGATGGACCTCCAGAACAGTTTGTAAAGAAAAAGAAAGGAAATAATGTTACAGTAAGTCAAGTCAAGCTTCTATATTAATCAAAATAATATTGTTTATGACAAAATAATTGTTGCTAAATTGAGATAAAAATAGCAGTAAATTTAATGGCTATTTATACATTCAAATTTTTTTTTTAATTGTATAAAGCTCTGCAATATTTAACCTCTCTTGAGAAGGGGAAGATCATGTATTAGATTAATCAAAGCTTTATTTAACTATTGTCTGAAATTTTCTGAGAATTATTAGATTAGTTAAAAAATATATATTAATGACTTGTTTTGCATAATTTTCTCATTTATAGTTAAGAATAGATATTTAAATGTGAATGTTTTATACTTTATATACTTAGAATGCTGATGGGAATATTTCTGGTACTCTTGCTGGTTCTGAACAAACACTTCCAACGTCACTTGAATGTTTGAAAAATGTCCTAATAGCACACAGATCAAGAAGACAGTATAGAGAAGTAAGTCTAAATGTACATTTCCATACTAAAAATAAATTTAATTAACAATTAATGACTGCCTATTAAAGGTTGGTTTTACTTAATTTTTTCTTTTCCTTGTTTGACTGCATTTGTGAATACTTAAATTATTTTTATATAATAATATGATGTACTATTTTTTTATTAACATACTTTTTTTACATTTATTTGTTAAATAATTAGTTCAAGTTGTAGCAAGAAATTCAAATTGATTGGTGGACATTTAAATATTGTTTTAGAACCATCCAGAGTTAAACATAAATGGAATAACATTAGAGGATATAAAACAACGAGTGGCACTTGTAAATGGTGCAAAAAAGCTAATGTTTGGAGGACCAAAGATTGCATCTCCAATCCAAAAAATTAAAAAAGCTCCTAAAAAAGATGCAGTAGTAAAAAAAATGCTGGAGAATAAAATATCAAAGAAATGCAAAGAAGAAACTGAGAATCCTGACATCAAACCTTTGCTTCAAAACATAAAAATCAAAGTTGAAAAAGAAGGTAGTGACTCTGAAAGCTCATTTTTAGAAAATGTGATGAGTCCTAAGCAAATGAAGAAACACATGGAACAAGTTGAAATCAAACAGGAAATAGGAGCAGAGTGAGTCTTAAATTATTTTTTTTATCAAAATTGGTGAAAAGCTTACTAAAGATAAAATAAAACGTTGTTGCATTTTCAGACCAAATTATGATGATCAGTTTGATGCATTAATAAAGCAAGAACCACCAGATTCCATGCCCATTACAAATATTTCTAAAATTGATCAACCAATTCCCATTAAACTTGAGGATTTGGATGGCATAGGTAAGACTAATAAAGTTGTTTAAACTAAAAATAAACAAAAGGCAAACATCTTAAAGTAAGTGAACCAAATAAAACAAATTACATTTAATTAGCATGATACTATCATATTAAATATTTGTTGTATAACATACCCTCTCCTTCTTTTTAATTAAATTACTAAATAAGATATTGAAAAGAGGATTATGAATATACAAAAATAATTATGTTATAAATATATATTACAAACAGATATGATGGCCCTACCAATAGAGTTAGCTGACGACACTGGAGAAGTTATTAAAGCGAAGTGTAAAGATAGGGACGAGCTTCTGGATGTGGATGAATCTTTAACTGAAACAACTCACGCTAACTTCCTGTCGCTTGTTCGAGCTTTGTTTCCGGCGAGGGCGGCTCACCGGGCCTCGAAACAACAGCTACATGCAAGATGCGCTGCTGTTATGCGCTCGCCCATAGCGCCCCTTAACACTTGGTATAACTGTGAGTATGTGTCGAGGTTTGTAAGAACTAAATTATATTTGCTTTAATGTGGACTAGCTGATAAATCTCATAGTTCTTGATTTTGTTGGTTCCTTAACTAGGGATGTCATAATATCTAAGTACATTTCTATGCTTATAGCATGCGACGATTGGTGTGCAGAATTAGATTCGGCTTTGGACTTTTTGGCCGGGGAAAGGGGTCCCCATCCTGATGACTTTGTACCATACTTGCAGTACATGCCAGAAAATCAGGTAAATTATTGAATAGTACATATTTATTGAATGTTGAGCTCAAATTTTCAATGGCAAAATTTTAAGTATCTATAATGTAGAAAGCTACAAAATTCTATTTAATCGCTCAGATGTACCAGTGGATTGGTGCCGGTCGGGATTGTGATGCAATTCTCGGTCGCCTCTGTGAACGGTGGCTTCGAGCTGCTGACGAGCCTTCCTTTATTGCTGAAGCACCGCCCCCAAGGTAATTAATTATTTACTACAAGGTATTTTCTGTGTTTTTTTTTTATTTAGCTTAGTTGGGTGGACGAGCTCACAGCCCACCTGTTGTTAAGTGGTCACTGGAACCCATAGACATCTCCAACGTAAATGCCGCCGCCCACCTTGAGATATGAGTTCTAAACTCTCAGTATATTACAATGGTTACCCCACCCTTCAAACCGAAACGTATTGTTGCTTCACGGCAGAAATAGGCGGGGTGGTGGTCACAAGACGTCCTACCACCAGTAATTACGCAAATTATAATTTTGCAGGCTTGATTTTTATTACACGATGTTATTCCTTCACCGTGGAAGTCAATCGTGAACATTAGTTAAGTACGTATTTCATTAGAAAAATTGGTACCCGCCTGCGAGACTTGAACACCGTTGCATCGCTTCAACACGAATGCACCGGACGTCTTATCCTTTAGACCAAGAATAGAACACATGAATTCTATTCTTATATGCTACAATGAAACAACTTTTGTTTCTATCTATGAATGTCTCCATGTTTGGGTAAATGCGCGTCAACTGCATCATTTGTGTTTTATCTGTCATGTTAGATATCCAACGTCGTGGATGATGCGAACACCGACTAGCTTTGAAGTAGCGGAATTCAGAGCGCAGGAACGACGGAGATTTTCATCGGCAGGAAAACCATTTACGTACATTCAGCATGGGTATGTAGTCATTGTAATATCCTAATTATAGGCCACATTGCAGAAATTGGTCACATTTCTTAGGCTATAATACTAGTTGTATTTTTTAAATTCTATTTAAGAAGCGAACAGTTTGTCATATACTTTATGAATATTATAAAATTATTTTATGACATTTTAAATTTATTTAAATATGTTTTTATTCATGATTGTTTTGCTTAAAACATTAAGTATTATAGTAGGCCAAATATAATTTATAAAATTGACTTTGGTGTTCACACTAGAATATTGTTACACACAAAATTAACAACTACTATTGCTACCTATCCTATTTGAAAGCCTATTTTTCATTTGGAGTCTATCAAAAGTATTTGTTTTTTTTTGTCTAAATGGTACTTATGCGTACATAAACTATATAAATTAGAAACATTATTTTGTTTATGAACAAGGTGGGCAGAATTTCCAATGTTATGAGATCATCAGATCTCAATGTCTCTCTGCCTACAACCACTAATCGCAGGTCCTAATTTTTTTCTTTGACGACTGTCATAACTTTCAATACCTTAAGCAGGATTTTTGCAGGTTTGCAACATTAGCTATATTACTTGAGCTAGGAACTTTGAGATTAGGTATTAGAGAGTTAGGTTAGGTGACAAATGGGGTCAGATTGTTATCACAATAGCAAGAGAAACAAATATATCTATAGACATGTTATGTATATTTGATATTACTAGTGGTCCTCCAGTATTCGAAATTTGACTATAATTAATTCAAATTATAAATTTAAACAATATTATGGTTCTATTATCAAAGACTATTTATATTTCTATAATCACAGATTTCGCCAAGACTACACTTTAGACAAGTAATATTATAGACAATATTTAATCTATTCTCAATTTGACCGCAAACTATAATCAATAAGAAAAGATTGACAATAAACAAATAGTATGCATGCGTGTGTGTGTCAAATACATGGTAGTGTGTAATGTATTTTTTATTGATTTAATGAAATATGTAATAATAAAATAGATATATTAATATTCTGGACTCTGTCTCTATATTTTCTATAATACTTAGTGGGAAATTTCATACTACTCCGTTCCGCGCGATTTACGTAAAAAGGGGTTACAAAGATTTTGCTTTACGTATTCATATATGGATTTATATGGCATTTGCGCCATGTTTTAATTTTAGACTTCTCTTTCTCATACATGATCGAAAAAACACTTAATTGAAGCCTTTCGCTAGAAAATCCGCACATTACCCATCGTGTTTAAGCGGTGTTTTGTGACAGGTGACTATAGTTACCGATAGTAGCGAAAGGGTTAAACATAAACAACACTATAAGATCAGCCAACACTGAATACTAAAACCCTCAGACACAGCCCACTGAGTTTCTCGCCGGATCTTCTCAGTGGGTCGCGTTTCCGATCCGGTAGTAGATTCTGCGAAGCACGGCTCTTGTTAGGATTCGTGTTAGCGACGTCGTCAGGTTTGAGCCCCGTGAGCTCACCTACTAGTTAAGGTTACGCTGAAATAACCTCTCAAGGCTCTCACCTTAGGTAGAAAAAAAAATACTAAGCGGTTACTAGAGCAAATAGATAGATGACGTTTCCTGTCCAGATACCGGTCAGTGGTGGGTCCGTGTGCTCGGTCGTGGTGGATGGGCGCGACGGGCGCGGCGTTGCTCCGCGCGGAACGCCCCCGCCCCGCCGCCTTCCCCGCACTCGTCCGCGACGCACTCGCCCGCCTCCCCAACGGCGAGGGCACCAGACATCACGTCCTCATCTTGCTCAAGTCCGTATCCCGTCACCGCACTATATCTTCTCTTATACTACATACAATGTAAAGCGCATCGAAAATCGTTATTTAATACTAATCATACCAACACTCACTGGTACCTATTTTTACCATAGCGGGTAGATAACGATATACGACAAGTATTACTCAAAATAAACTAACAAATAAAAAATAAAAAATGTATAATAACTGTAGATTAATTGGTAAGCAAAAGTCATGAAGTCAAATCGATGCCTCCAATGAACACTACTCTAACTCCAAATTCGTAGGTTTACAGGAGAGTTTAAACGAAAAAAGTTGATAAATATATCTGCAATAATAAAGATTTTATGGTTTTTTCTTGTGTAACTAGCTGATTTACTCTTGCTTCGAACCCCATTAATAATGAATTTGTAATACTTTTAAAATAGTGAAGCGATTTGCGTGAAAAACAAAAATTTCAAAATTTTCAGTGTAGTGTTCATTGGAGGCATCGAAATCGTCTTTTCGCATTAAAAGTGTACAATTTCCAAAAATATTCGAAATTGACTAAATATGCGGAATCATTTGGTATCACCAGTATTTTTCTAATAAATACTGTCAAAAAAGCGTACTTTAGCATTAATTTTTTTTTAGTTTACCTAAGTTTGACTACTATTAACAAATTAATACATAATTTTATCTTACTTTAAAAGACAGATAATGTAACTGGTAAAAAATAAAAAATAAACGTTGCAAAGATTATAACTATTAAAAATTAAGTTAAGAGATTCGTGCATATATACATAATCACAATTTTTTTCAAAGATTTTAGAGCTTAGCAACGATACCTTTAAGCTAAGTCTTATTTCTTCTTATATTGTGTTATATTAAAAGTGATATGAAGCGAAATGAGCTGAAGTTGATTAATTTGAGATCAATCGAGACGAAATTAAATGAAGTGAGATGAGATGAGATGAAATAAAGTCTAAGTAAAACTATTATAATTTACTAAGTCTTTCAGTGGACTTTTCGAATGAAACCGAAAACCCACGTTCTGAAGCCACGTATTCCCTCATTTGTGCACTTGTGCCAAAAGGCTAATAAACCATCTTTATTAGACATTTAACCCCGAAGAAACACTAAATTAATAAAATAAGAGCTATTCACAGAACATAGATGCTCGCATTCCCGCCAAAAAGTGAATTACAGTTAAAAAAGGGCAAAAGGCACAGTTTTATAATACGCAACTACAGCAAGTGAACGCCTCCGAATAATACGACCTACTTTATTAAATAAGCTACATATAGCCATAAAGAAATAATAACAACCCATTTTTATATTAATAAGATAAAATCAGAGCTTTTGCACTATAATTACAAAAAAATCATATTTGAATGGCATTGAAACTATATATGTCTATTAACTACACGTATGTACAGATTGGTGAAAGTATTAAATTATTTAAGCAAGTGGACAGTTTCTAATCTGAAAAAAGCTCGGGTCGGTGTCTGTCATTCATATTTATTCAAAATTAACTCGTTTTCATGTAAAAAACTATTTCTCATTTCATTAGAAACAGCTGCATATGAGCGTGCGTTAAATTGTTTTAAATTATTTTCTGTAGGATGTCACAGTGGATAGCACCTTGTAGTGATCAAGCTCTGTTAAGTGCAGTTTCGGCAGCGTTAGACAAGTTAAATTCTATAAAAAGGGATCCAATCGTGAAGTACGACCAGCGCACTGCTACCTGGACATATTTGCATAGGAATAGGTGAGTGACAAAAAAAATATAATAATATATTATGTGTACAACCTTAAATAAATTATAAGTTTGTTTATATCAAAATCAAATAAGTTGATGTGTTTTTAAAATGAAAATTTCGATTGTAATTCGTTAAAGTTAATAATAACAATTAAAAAAATTAAAAATTAAAATTCAATTGAAAAGTTTTAAATAAATTGTATTTTTAATATCATTTAAAAAAATGGTATGATTTAATAAGATTTTAAATAAATATAGTAGAATAATAATAATAATACATAATAATAATTAATACCTAACACATAGTCAAAGATTTAGTTATATATTTTAGCATCAAAAGCATTAAGGTTTGTGATCAATGAACAATACACACACAATAAAATGTAGTACGATTTTGCATTTAATATATTTCAGAACGGAAGAAGACTGGTTGAAATTGAGCGGTCGAGGTAAGAAGTTCGGTGCCACGTCCTTCCCCTCCCTGCCGGCGCCGCTCACCCCGCCCCCCGTCAGACTACAGACGCCGGCCAAGGAACGGCCTCTGTCTCCTCCGCGAGGGGTACGATACTAAAAATTTATCTACTGATTATATAAAAGTGTTGTCACTATACATTATCACAGGTTTTTACAAAAGATTCAATAGAGGCTCTCTAGATTCTGAAACGCCAACAACACCAATATTATCTAATACTTATATGGAGGAAATAAAATTAATTTACTAAGTTAAACATAAATATTTATTATTTAAGTAATTTCATACTTTATGAATCAAGGATAAAAACAAATATGCTGTAGTTGAATGACGGGCTCGACCGAAAATTTAATTAGGACTTATTATAAAAAAGGTGAAGCAAATAGTAAAATTTTAAATTAAATTCATCATGAATTTTTCGTTGTAATAATAGTGATACTAATTGTGTCAAGGATCGTCAGTATTACCGAATTGTCTTATTTGTAACAAAAATCTAATTAAATTGGCAGGACTTTAACTAAAATATTATTTTAAGAGAACAGTTAAGGATAATCTTATACCTTTAAACGAGTAATTCTTGTATATAGGTATATATATAATCTGAATCTCGGAAACGGCTCCATCGATTTTCATAAAATTAAAGTATACAGGGGATTTCGGGGGCGATAAATCGATCTAACTACGATTTATTTTCAGAAAATGTTGTTTTATTCGTGTTTTCAATAATCAACTGTTCCCGACATCTATTGGCGAATAATAATACTATTTTTCTTAATTGAGGGCAACTAACCGCTTTAAAGACACAACAAGATGGCGTTATCAAAAATAAAAAAACTTCATCATCTTCTAGTCATCATCTAGTAACAATTTATTTCAGGTCGAATTAGAAGTGGCGAACGTGGAGGAAGTAATCGAAGCGTCTGACAGCGACGTGGACGTTGACGACACCAGCACGTCGGTGCCGCACCTCTCCTCGGCCCAGCTCCTCATGCAGGCGACGCAACTCCACAAGCCGACACTCGCGCTCTCCAACAAACCCAAAGGGAAACTGATCGCCGCAGCGTCTCCTAAATCCAAACCTCAAATAACGAAGCTTCCGTCCAATAAGCAGACCAATAAACAGGCCACCCTGATGACGCAATCCGTGAAACAAGCCAGCTTGATGGCGGCGACCATGAAGCAAGTAATGACGCAAGCGAAAGTCGCACAAGTGAAGTCCCAACAGACTCCTAAAGTCAGCGTTAGTCCTCCGACGCCAAAACAAACTAACCCTCAGACGAAAACAGTCATTAACTCGGTGGCCAAACAGAATGCGACACAGGTCAAAACTGTTTGTCTGCCGAAAACAGATTTGAAATCTACGCCGAAACAGACGAAGGTCGCGCTCGTGAAGACCTCTGCCAGTCAAGCTGCGACCCCCGCAACCTCCTTAGGTCTGGCTTCCAGTCAGATATCGAAGTCCTTGCCCTCGCTTATTGTGACGCCTCAGAAGTCACCACTCATGAAGCAGAGACTGTTGCAGAGGACCGACACTTCACCGGCCATTGTAAGTGTTTTTTTTTGTTTACTCTTAACATATAAGTATGTATAAAAATGTTTCATCAAGCAAAAATATTTGCCTGTAGTACACAGGAACTAAAGTGAGATCTAACTTAATAACAATGCATAATAAAAACAGTGTTTTACAACAAACAATAAGCTTATAAAATATTCGTTCCCTAGGTGACTATGGCTAGCCAAAAAACGCCTCCAACGACTGTGACTTTGATACATCCCACCACTGAAACAACGGGCCCTCAAAGCGTAACAAAGGTTTGTTTCAATTACATTAATACATTAAAATAAAAAATAATTATTTCTATAGAAAGTATTTTATTTGCAGGTTGGTCAAGGGACTCGTTCATTGTTAATAAAACCGTCGGCTGTACAAACTACTGTAACGGCGTCGACTACCATACCTTCGACACAGGTTAGTTTAAATAATTGGCTTTGAATATAAAGGTAATTTTTAAATTTATTTTTATATATTTTTAATCTCGCTAAATCGTTTTTCTTGAAGGTGACACCTATACAACGACGTGGCATCGTAAGAGTGCTCAGTCCTGCAACACCTTCCTCGGGGAAGTCACTGATATCGCCAAGAGCTCTCATGCAAACTGGTGCGTATATATGTATATATTTTTTTAAATATTGTACAGGTGCTTAGAAGTAATTTTTATAGAGTTTATTATTTTTTATAGGCACTACAACTGCAAAGAAACGCACAATTATATCCACAACCGCTTCTGTCACGACTGTTGCTCAGGTACTTATTCTTTGCTAATGCATATAATAAACGAATTGGGTCCCGCAGATTGATGAGATTAAAAAATAAGAATTATAAATTTAAGAAGAATTATATTTTAGAAGTCTATTTATTAGAAACGCCTATGCTTTATTATGTGGAATAAAAAAAATGTTTCGAAAATACAAGCTTCTAAACTGCATGTGCCTTTATTTTAAGACAAGCGACTTGTATGTAAAGAAAAACATAAAAAATATAAAATTTGTGATAAAATCATATAACTTATGCATTGTAATAATACTTATAATGGTTATGTAAAATTATAAGCATAAGAATCGATTGAAATATTTATTTTAAAATTTCATCACTTTGCGCTTGCATCAGCATACGTAGGACCCGTCATGATGCTTGAAATCGGAGCAGCCACAATCTAGAAAGGTCTTGACATTTAATATTTTCAATTAACAGAGCGCAGAAAGCAAAAGCACAGTATCGAGCAGTACTCCCACCGCTGTGACGTCATCTGTGACTACTAGAACCATCCAGCTGGCGGGCGGTCGCACCGTGCAGCTGGCCGCCAACCAGACCGTGCACCTGCCCGGCGGACAGGCCGTGCAGCTCAGCTCCGGGCACACCTTGCAGCTGTCGTCGCTGCAGCTGCCCATGCACAGCGTCCGTCTGCCGAGCGGACAGACGGTCCAGCTGGCCTCGCCGCAGACGATGCAGGCGGTCAGAGTATCGAACGCTGCTGTGAAAACGTCCACTGTTCGATCTCAGCAATCCGCATCCGTTGTCAAGAATCTACAAACGTCGCAGTCTACTGTCCAGATCCCGGTGTCTACCGTGCAACTGGCCGGCCAGACCGTCCAGATCGCGGGACAGACGGTCCAGTTGGCCGGCCAGAGCGTGCAACTCACCGGACACACGGTCAAGCTGCCCAGCGGACAGAGTGTTCAAGTGGCCAGCCAGAGCGTGTTGCCGTCGCAGAGCGTCCAGCTGCCGAGCGGTCAGACCGTCCAGCTGACCGGTGGCAACGTTCAAACTTTACAACTGACCGGTTCCAACGTCCAGAACTCACAAATTTCAAGCGGACAAAGCGTGCAGTTAAGTTCTCAAACAGTGCAGTTAGGCGGACAGACCGTGCAGCTGCCCGGCGGACAAACGTTACAGCTCTCCGCCGGCCAGACGGTGCAGCTATCCAGCGGACAAACCCTGCAGTTGGCCAGTGGACAGACCGTGCATTTAGCAAATCAAGGAACAAAGTCTGTTGCACAAGTCATCCGCAGCCAAGCGGCTACCGACAAAGCAACTTCCGCGCAACCGATAGTGGCGAAATTGCTCACCAACGCTCAGGTAAGCACAGCACGGTAATTTCTCAAGGGGGCTTGGATAACTGAATCTCAGCTATTGAGATTTAAAAATCGTAAATATTCTAATATTGGACATTATCATGCAGACGTAAAATGAATGTTGAGTATCATTTTGAACAATTTTAACCAAAAAGGTTGTTTGTTTATTTATAGTACTTCAATAATATAAACGTGATACCTATCCTCGTGTAACCGCTTAGTATTCAGTGTTAGCTGATCTTATAATGTTTTTTATGTTTAACCCTTTCGCTACTATCGGTGACTATAGTCACCCGCCACAAAACACCGCCTATACACGGACTTCCAGCATGGAGCCTCGTTTCTTGCGAAACACTTTGCAGCATGGCCTGTCCTATCGAAAGGGTCCAAATAAATGTTTTTTCGATCGTGTATGAGAAAGATAAGTCCAAAATTAAAACATTGCGCAAATGCAGTGATGGATTTATGCCTAGCTCGTGAGGCCCGGGTCTAGCTAGGGTGGTATGATTTGAACGGCGGCAAAATTTTTGAAATCCCAAATTTCCAGAGACGAAAAATGTAAAAACAGTTCTTGGAAAATGAGATCAGATTGATTTAAAAAAAAAATAGTAGTTTTAAATTTAAAATAAACATATTAGAGCAAAATAATAAAGCTTATTCTAACATCAAGACTGGCGCGATATACCAAGTGCGCATCAAGCCTAAATACGTCACTGCGCAAATTTCATATAAATATTTTTATAATTTTTTAAGTTCATCAGTGACCGTCCACACTCACGGGGGTCCGTATGTTGGATTTTTCAACACTCAATTCTTAGTAAAAAAATTATTGCTTGGATGGGTGGGTAGACGAGCTAACAGCCCACCTGGTGTTGGTTACTGGAGTCCATAGACTTCTACAACGTAAATGCGCCACCCACCTTGAGATATAAGTTCTAAGGTCTCAAGTATAGTTACAACGGCTGCCCCGCCCTTCAAACCGAAACGCATTACTGCTTCACGGCAGAAATAGGCGGGGTGGTGGTACCTACCCGTGCGGACTCAAGAGGTCCTACCACCAGTAATAAATAGAAAGTGTAGTAATGTAGTGCATATTAAACATTTTGATTATGGTAAAGTGAAGGTAAGTGTTATTGGTGTATTCCAGGGTCAAATGGTGTCGGTGGAGGGTGGCGTCCGCGGCGGCGTGCGCGTGTTGGCGCCGGCCGCGCGCCTCGCCCGCCCGCTGCTGCTCACGGCCGCCAAACCGCTGCACAACATCATCTTGCAGGTCGGTTTTTTTCCCCCTACCTAGGCTGATTAAACTATTCCAGATGGTCTGTATCATAATTACGGCACAATCGTATCTATATATATAAAAACGAATTGCTGTTCGTTAGTCTCGCGATCCTCAGTAGTGAGGGAACGATATAGAAGAGAAGTCTCGCTAAAACTCGAGAACAGCTGGACCGATTGGCTAATTTTGGTCTCGAATTATTTGTGGAAGTCCAGAGAAGTTTTAAAAGGTAGATAAATATGAAAATGCTTGGAATTAAATAAAAATAACAATTTTGTTTTCCTTTGAAGTGTCCCCGTCGGACGGATTCCTTTTGTTTGTTTTATTTTTATTTTATATAAAAGTTTAGGTCTTTTATTTATCGATTGAGGCACTACGAAGTCTGCCGGGCCAGCTAGTTTATAGTAAAAATTAAAACTAGTCAATAATAATTTTGCGCAGGAGTTGCCGCCCCTTTCAACATGTCCTCCGTCTGAAGAACAATAGATTAAAGCGTGTCCATCTTGTCTCTACCACTTCGACAAATAAGATGCGCCGGCGACATGTTGCGGAGGGCGTGGTTTAACTGGCTTTGCACGCGACACTTGGATCACGTGATGTGATGCAAAACCGTATGATTTTAGTGCTGTGTTGAGATGTGCGAGTTGACTTGCTCACTCGCCACACTGATAGCCTTGCCTTGAGAGGCTATTTCAGCTTCACCCTAGCGTGTAGGTGAGCTCACGGAGCTCAAACCGGAGTGTTGCTAGCACTGGCCCTAGCAAGAGCCGTGCTTCGTAGAATCTACAATCGGATCGAAACGCGACCCACTGATAAGATCCGGCGAGAAACTCAGTGGGCTGTGTCTGTTGGTTAATTTACTCGTCGAGCCCTTCGTCGCAAGCGAAGGGTTCGACGAGTAGTTCGACGGGGATATTTAAGTTTTGAACATGTGAATAATAGCAACCATCTTACCGATAAAGACTCCTCCTCTATGCTGTTTAAAAAATTGAAAATGTATTAAAATAGTTTGCTAATTTTAAAGAGAATCCGATTCGTTTGTTTTTCTTAAAACATCGTGTATTCTTTGATTGTATTGTGATGGCAAAAGTTGCGTCATCGTCCTCAAAACGCAAGAACGTTTGTATTGTATAATGTAACCATTATGTCTGAGAGATTATTATGGTGATTCTCCTCTGTTATTATGAATACACTAGCGACTCGCCCTCGCTTCGCTTCGGAAACATTAAAACACAAATGAAACAAAAAAAAAAAAAAAATTTTAAAAAGTAGCCTATGTTCATCAGGGACAATGTCGGCTTCTAATGGAAAAATAATTTTTCAAATCGGTCCAGTAGTTTCGGAGCCTATTCGAAACAAACAAACAAACAAATCTTTCCTCTTTATAATATTAGTATAGATGAATTGTAGAGTTGGATGAAATGATTAGCAAATAGTGTAAACAATATAGCTTGAGTCTAATAAATTTATTATTATAATTCGGGTGATTTATTGATGGCATTACGGTTTGGTGAGTTCACTCGTCTAGGATCCATCACCCTGTCTGTTTCTGCCGGAAGCAGTACTGCATTTCCGTTTGGAGGGTGGGGTAGTTGTACTGTAAAACTGTGGCGACATTTATGCTATTAATTAGCTCCGGTAACCACTAAATACCAGGTGGGCTGTGACCGTTTCCACCCTATAAGCAATAAATAAAACTTGGGGGATTTTGAGCCCGCACCTATTACTGCCGCGAAGGGATAAAGCTTTCCTTCTTTTGCCGCTAGGGGCACTGTTCCAACTCCATACAAATTTGAGTTAACTTTCACGCGATCGAGAAGTTAAAAATTCGCACTAAGCACACTGGACTCGTTTATCCAATAAAAGAAACAAAGTATTTTCAATTCCTTTGCTTAAATTCTTTAAAAATAATATTAATTAAGTAAAGTGAGTAAACTAACTTCCAGCAAAGCGATGGCACTCGCGTGCCCTCAAGCGGAGGCTCTTCGTCGCCGCAGACCTTGGTACTCAGCAACCTTGGTAAGTGATTAGTTTGTTGTCGTCTCTCAAATTGATGTCTGTGTACCTATCCTCTTGTTGTTTATTTTTTGTTTAACGTTATTTTCTATACTTAGGAGCTCAAACAGTCTCAACGTCAACCACCACCGCGCCGGTGTTAAAATTACAGCAGGTAACGGATGTATTACTAAGAAATAAAACGCAAATTTTAGTGTTGCGATCAATCAGTAGGTTATCGGGGGGTATTGTTTTCATTCATGTTTACGATATACATTGCCGATATATGCTCCTGATAGGGCCCTAGAATCTCATTTATTAGCATCTCTCATTAAATCTAACGTATTGTATTACAAGTACATTTCTTGTTTTGGTTCCATTGCTGTGTCACTACATGCTATTTTTTTTTAAATCAACCCTTTTTTACTTTTCGCCATAATTCTATGTTAAAATGTGTAGTTGAAGTTTTCGAGCTGTGAATACGAACTTCGGACGTGACGGTAATCGTTTCGTAATTTTTTAGGTGAATCCATTACAACAAGTTAAACTCGGGCAGGGGATTAAAATTCAACAGGTGATTTTTGAAAGTTTGCATGCCTCCAAGTGTAAGAGAGGACGTTTGTCTAGTTTGCGAAGGTTTAATGCATGCGTTTGTTAACAACTAGAGGTATCATATTACGGTGCACGGTTTGATTTCGGAGACGCGTTCGGCGTGCTTAGCGCGACGTTTTTTACGTTCACGATAGCGTAAAAGTTGGCTCATGTTTGTATGGAATGGGATCGTTTGCGTACGTTTTCCGCTAGGGGCGTTGTTCCAACTGCATACAAAATTGAGTTAACTTTTACGCTATCGAGAACGTTAAGAAACTCGCACTAAGCACACGGTTCTAAGACGAACACGCTTACATCTAACACTGGTAATGCTTACATACAAATGCGTTCATAAATTACACCATGAACTGTGGATCTCGTGTGGTGGACTAATATTTGAAATAAAATAAAAAAATTGGGAAATTAAAATACTGTATAATAAACTAATGATTGATTTTAGGTGTTCATTGACAAAAATAACAGATATGTATATCGTAAATAATTAGTAACTGATCTGGTAACTAAACCTACCTGACGCTGCAGAAGTGTTTGAGAGCATGTGTTATCGTCATATTAACATATTACGTTCTTTTGTATTATTAATAATATAAAATAAAATATAAAAAAACATACAGGAGATGTACACGAGTTCATATTATTATACTTTGTCATAAAATTTTTAGCTAGTAGATTCGTATAATTTTCATACCATTTACATTGTATTAAAACATTCGCACAACACCCTTTACACTGATGAGTTAACGGAAATCAATTTTTATATTATAGTTTCGTAGGCTGAGATACATAACACTAGTTTTGAAAGCGCTTTTATCCCACGTTTGTCTATTAATTTAATAACAGCTCTTTTTTTTTTTGTTCTAATAAAGGACAAAGATGTCGGCTTCGATTGACGTGAATACAAATTCGAAATAAAAAGTGTTTTCGATCGCGTCTTAAAATAACTAGGGAATTCTTGAGAATGCTAAAGCGTAGTTTGGTTTTCCAGGCGGGAACGAACGCGACAGTAGCGACATCTAGCGGCGTCCGCAGCGTCGTGATGGACGGACAACAGCTGAAGCTGGTCGGCGGGCGGCACGTGCTCGCGCGGATCCTACGGCCGGCGCATCAGCCCCCGTAACCGGCTTCACAACCTCTGAAGTCATGCTCTGAAGGTCGAATATTACGCTATGTACAAATTCAGCTTTTACCGATACGTGTGAGTCTGTGTAGAAAGTTATGTCTCACACAAACTGACTAAAGTTGATGCGTTTGTGCGGCCCTTTGGCTCTGACGATGAATGAGTGCATAATAACAAAAAAATCGGATCATTCTTAAAATTTTACATCTGTGAATGTATTGTGATTGTTACAGTTTTATTAAAAAAAAATTGTTGCCCTTGTAGGCAGACGAGCATACGGCCCATCTGATGGTGAGTGGTTACCGTCGCCCATGGACTTCAGCAATGCCAGGGGCAGAGCCAAGCCGCTGCCTACCTGAATTGTCGACAATTGGATGTGCAGTGTTCGCCGCCACTTTGAGACATTAGTGATGCCGATTTTTATAAAGATAAGATTAATTAAAAAATTATAATACACCAAACATAAATTTCATAACAATGTACAGATTACGTAACAAGAACTACTCTCGTACAATTAAGATGTCGTTTTGTGAGACTACGAAACGATTTATTTATATTTATATAATATAGTATAGTTATTCAATCGAACAGTATTTTATAAATTTGTTTGTAAACCGTACAAATAAGTTTTCGAATGTCGTTACATTAAATTGAATAACTTATTTATCGTTCTTTAATTATAATTTCACTTGATTTAATATTTAGGTGTATTAGGTTAGATTTGTACAGATTTACAACGGGCGTACCTGTGTGAATGTTTACACACTGTTGAAAAGCAATAACGTTTTTTATATATTATATTATATTATACACACTATGTAAATATTTTCGATAAGTTTTTACCGACCGTAGTGTAATGATAAAAACCGCTTTTATTTACTGATTACGGTTTATTGTATATTAATGATAAATAAAAAAGGTATAGTAGCGTAATTTTTACAAGTCTTAAAAGGTTTGACATAGGCAATGCTGATATGTTAAGATCTGTAAAATGTATTCGTTTGATTGTTAATAAATATCTTCTTTTGTTTGTTTGTTAAATGTGTACGGATGTTATTTTTCGTTTCGGTGTGTAAATAATGTTCTATAAGTTCTGTTAGTTGGATCCCACTATAATATTTTCGAATATAAGTCAATTGCTTATGTAAAATTCGTTTTATTTGGTTAGAAGAGAAGTCAATAAAGAGCTATTATGGCTCTATTGGAGTTAGTGGATATTACTGGTGGTAGGACCGCTTGTGAGTCTGCGCGGATAGGTACCACCGCCCTGCCTATTTCGGCCGTGAAGCAGTAATGCGTTTCGGTTTGAAGGGTGGGGCAGCCGTTGTAACTATACTGAAACCTTAGAACTTATATCTCAAGGTGGGTGGAGCCTCTACGTTGTAGATGTCTATGGGCTTCAGTAACCACTTAACACCAGGTGGGCTGTGAGCTCGTCCACCCATCCAAGCAATAAAAAAATAAAATTCGGTTAAATCTACGATCATTTTAAAACGAGAGTTATATTTTTTACCGTATTGGGTATTGTGATTTAAAAACTTTTTAAATTACGCGCTTGATGAAGGCGAATATGCTTCGTTATGTATTAGTCTGTCGTTTAATTGGTAATACGCCCGGCGACTGTATCTAGACATCGACTGTACCGTACCAGTATTCGGGTAAACTTCTGCGAATAATTGTTTGGCTAACTAATACCACGCAAATTTGCTGTTTTCAGCAGAGCACTAAAAACAGAATATATTGTTTCCCTCTAAGAGTTTTCCCGCACATATGTGATACTTCCATATATCGTTGGTATAGTGTTGTCGTGCAGCTGTTAAGTGTTTTCTATTAAGCTAAGCGGCGCGATGTTTCTTAGTAGAGAAATAGTCCTTTAAGTGTGTCTTTGATCAGTAATGCAGTCGATGTGACGATGAAAGTCTCAAAATAAATTCATAGTAAATGCTTGTAGGGTCGGTAGGAATGAGTACCTTTATTACAAAAAGTTTTTTTCTGTTTTTTTATTGCTTAGATGGGTGGACGAGCTCACAGCCCACCTGGTGTTTAGTGGTTACTGGAGCCCATAGACATCTATAACGTAAATGCGCTACCCACCTTGAGATAAGAGTTCTAAGGTCTCAGTATAGTTACAACGGCTGCCCCATCTTTCAAAGCGAAACGCATTACTGCTTCACGGCAGAAATAGGCAGGGCGGTGGTACCTACCTGCGCGGACTTACAAGACGTCCTACCACCAGTAATTATGCAAATTATAATTTTGCGGGTTTTGTTTTTTATTACACGATGTTATTCCTTCACCTTGGAAGTCAATCATGAACATTTGTTAAGTATGTATTTCATTAGAAAAATTGGTACCCGCCTGTGGGGTTCGAACACCGTTATTTATTAAATTGTTATTATCGTTAAAATCTTGGAAAACGCTGAGTTTTTGTTGAAACGTCTCGTACGCCACCTCGACAATGTTGTTATGCATTTACTGTAACACCATAAAATATGTCCGGACGTCTTATCCTTTAGGTCACGACGACCTCAAACTTCTGCTGGTAGGGCGTATTGTAGGCCCCACGAGAATGTGCAACCATACTGCCCATTTCTGTCGAGAAGCAATCATTCCTTTCGGTTTCAAGGATTGAAATTCGTTATACTATAATAATTGCCACTCTTCTTTACGTGCTGAGATTATTTGGCTCCGTCTACTATTTGCTGTTTCCCACCCGTGCGGGCTTACAATATACAGAACCACCGGTAATACATAACAGTTTTGTGGGATATTATTTTTTAGTTTTTTTAATGGCTTTTATTATGAGTATCTTGAATATTGTTAAAAAATAGGGTGACATAGCTATTGTTGGATATTAAAAACAATTTTATTGTATAAACGGACGGAGCTCAATGTATCATGGGCTTACATGGTTGGATAACACGTATTAACGAGTAATATCTCCGAGACGAACCGTCGTGATGAGAAAAATATATTCTAGCTTTTAAGTCTAAACGTCTGAATATATAAAAATAATGATTATAGGAACAGCTGATGTTTTCGATCGATGCTCGTAATGATAATTAATTTTTATTTGGAGCGCACGTCGATATTTTAACCTTCTTATGAAGATCCGCTTTTTTTTCCTATCTAATCTGATAGCCTTGAGAGGCTATTTCAGCGTAACCTTAAGTAGTAGGTGAGCTCACGGGGCTCAAACCGGAGTGATGCTAACACTGACCCTAGCAAGAGCAGTGCTTCGCAGAATCTACCACCGGATCGGAAACGCTACCCACTGAGAAGATACGGCGAGAAACTCAGTGGGCTAAGATGCGCAATACAGAAACATCCTCTAAGAAATTTTCAATTTTATTAATTTATATAGGTTGGTAAAATGAAATTGTAAAAAAATGAAACTGGTTTTTGGGTGTGAAAACATAATTTATTCAATGCTTATGTACATAGTGACTTTATAGCAGATCTAATGTAATCGCTTTGCTCGAGGCATTCACAAAATTACTATTCTAACACAAAAGCTAAGTTGAACATAAGGGTGCGCGTCGGGTGCTGCGTGTTGCTAGTATTGCATTCTGGTCATTGTTTCATCTGAACTACGTCATCATAAGTTTCTCACTCATATTAATTTTGCAACCGTCTAATCAAAGGGAAGTTTGATGAATTGTTTGATATAGATCCGTCGTCTTCTTTCTATTCACTGCGTTCATCCACAATGAGCTTCTAGTACCATCTACGTTTTTTTTTCTAGATAGTTTTATCGCTTTTTAAAGTTTCAAACGTGACGATTCACCTGAAGATTGGTCGCGTACTCCTTATGTCTTTGAAGACAATAAAAAAATGAAAATTTACCATTATTAGTCTTTAATCTTTTTTTTATTAAAACACTTAATAGTCGCTGTTAAACACCGAGTTACAGCATTGTGATCTAATGAAGCAGCAGTTTGTTCAATAATTTAGATTGACTTGTACTTTAAGTGTTTTTATCGAAGCGGAGACGACAGTATACCGAAATTAAAAATAAAACTATATTCAACCGCTAAACATTTGATTTAATACGTTAAATATTTATGAGACCGCAATTTATCACGCAGGTAGCAGGCATATCCCCTTGCTTTCGATCTAAAACGTTATCGCGTATTAACGTAGGTATCGCGCGTTATGTGAATTTGAATCATTGCGTTCAATACAAAAAAAAACATATCCTAAATTTCAGCGCTCAAATACGACTAGAATGCATTACTAGTGTTCTTTCCATTACTATTATGTGGCATGAATGATAAAATTTAATTATTAATTCATATTACTTTTAAAATTCATTGAAACATTAAACATTGCTAAAATTCCTTTTCATGTAAATCCAATATATAACCATACAAATCCTTCTATAGTCGGATTTTTAATTAGACGAAGCCAGCCAGCCAGTCACTTTGTGAAATAATGTTGCTATATTTAAAGTAATAGTGTTGCGTTCAGTTCTTGTTCAATCACATGAATGAACAATGAGTGTGAAGAGTTAATCATTAATTTCAAATTATAAAAGAATATAATTTAAATTTTACAATAAAATTGTATTAAAGTGCTCCAATATATGTTACTAGTAGTATGTAACTACAATCAGTTTTTTTTATTTTCATTACCTACGTATAATTGTTATATTTTATACATCTATAGTTTCAACTACATGATGTATTGGAAATAGGACAGTCTTACAAGCTTCCTCGCAATGTTTTTCTTAATGTTTAAAACACTCGAGATTCGGTACAGGTAGATACTATAGGAACATAATATTTCGTCGAAAAGTCGTTGGTATGTACAAAGCCCGCCTAAAATTCGAACCCCGTACCCGATATCGGCAATTCGGCACACCGACTATTCACTAGACAATCGAGGCAATTTCATTAATTCAGGAGTTTTTTCAATCGTTCACTTTGTCACAACACTATTTTTATTTCATCAAAAACTGACAACACAGCAAACGTCAGTTGACTTCGTCTAATAAAAAATCCGACTATAAAAGGGAACCTCCGGCTACGAGTTTAAGAGACACGATTAGAAAGAATGTGATCAGAACGTTATTGTTTACCATATTTTCAAATAAGAACAATGATGCTACTTTTTTCAACAGTTTGGTGTATTTTATAGTCAGTGTCTAGATTAAATTAAAAAAAAAATGTTACACCCTGTATTCTTCAAATGATGTCAAATGTCAGATAGAATTTGAAAATTGAAAGAAAGGTCGATTATCGATTCAATTTGAAGTCTTTTCTTGGCCGTAGTTATTATTTTCCAATAATTAATCGGTAGGAATCTTTTTGTGGATTAATACAGAGTGTGATTTTTATCTCCAAACCAGTGGAATCGATTTTGAGAATTTATTACTATTGCTCGTAGTTTAAGATGGCGTTAGAAGCGGATTCGAGAATTCACCATCATGGTTCGAATCAATATTAACATTCATTTCACCGTGTCGCCTCACTATCACAATTTATTTCTAGCTATTCTTTCCGAGACCCTTCATACATATCATACACTCGTTAGACTAACATTTATATAAAACACGCCCATTATAATCGTAAGCATATGAAACATACTCAGCACTCACGGGTACATGTAAGGATTACAGTACAGTAGTGCCGTTCCAAACGAAAGCGAACCATTCTCGAAACTAAGAAAAAAAAAACCTACCAACAAACACTAAAACGCGTTACTAGATCAGTCTTAACTATGTTATAAAGTTATGAAATGTATGAATATGTTTTACCGATGATAAAAGGTATATATTTATTTTTTAATAATAATTCAGATACATGTAGTACTTAACCTATCGATACATACACAAAAATAAAATATATTTACGTTGTTAATTTGAAATACCACAGGTATTTTTAATACTGACGAGTCGTGCTATAAATTATTTATCTTCAGAGATATGATATATACTTTAATTATTATTTAATTTGCATTTCAAGCTAATAAATGCACGAAGTATTACTACGAAGCTCGTATGTGCACAAAAAATACACGTTAGAAATAGTAACGAATTATTTTTAGTAAAATACATAGACTACAATTATGTATTATTATTATTATTGTACCAAAAATAAAATTTTAGCAACATTGGCATTTGACACGTGTAATAATACAGTCGATTATCTAATACGCTTTAAAAATACGTTTTAACTATAACATTATATCGTATCTCTGAATATGGGATAATTATAATTTACGGTCTTGCATCGACCGACCTTGTTGTATTTACAAATGATAGGCACTGAAAGTTTAATATGTGTGTGACCAGTTAGAAATAACGCAGACAACTTTTTGGATTCCGTTTTTAATTCGCAAACTATGGCTGCTAAATCAAAACTAAGTGCGTTTGTATAGTTGTGTACAATTTGACTGGATAGTGATAGGTAATAAGTGGTTAACGAAGCCCTTAATTATAACAACGGGGTTGTCAACCCTCTTCAGAGGTGAGGTCGAAATTGCCATTGTACCTATAACTGTTGTACCACATTTATAACTGGAACTCACGGCTCCATTACGGCAGAAATTGACTGTCTGGTGGTACGTGCTCAAATGGGCTTACATTACGCCCCACCCATAAAAGTATTCGTTGCGATTTAACTCTTAAGAACAGAACAGTTGTCAAAACTGTTAGGCTACTATTGCTTTCTTAACTTTAATCTGCAAAAAAACGTATCGAAAACTGTTGTCAAAATGTACACAATTTATTTTTCGTCCTGTTAAGCCAAAGGCATAGGTGAGGTTTGGGATCTATTCCTCAGCGTCCTCTACTACTTCGGCTGTCAGAAGATTAGTGTTTACATCCTGAAGGTCTGCAGTTAACTTCTGGAACAAAATATGCATTGAGATACTTAAAATAAGGCATCAATACATCATTATTAGCCAAAAATGGATTAGTGGTTTACTGTAATATAACTTTTTTTTTTTAAATATAATATACAGTTAGAAATTAATACTTTTTATCCGAGGGGTATAATAATATGTTCCGTAAATATTTCGGTAGGCACCGGCTTGGCTCTGCCCCTGGCATTGCTGAAGTCCAAGGGCGACGGTAACCACTTACCACCAGGTGGGCCGTATGCTCATCTACCTACATGGAAAAGCGCGTTTACAAAGGATATCAGTTGGATACCTACATATTGGAATCCTTTTATGAATCTTTATGTACCGATGTACCTACCGATTACATCTGCGTATAAAAAAATATTTAGCCGCAACATAGGATTTGGGTCGCATTTTTTAAATTTACCAATAGTGAAAACGCGAATGAAAGAAGTGCGAATAAGGAGATTGTACTGCAATAGAATGTTGACTTGCAGTGTTATCGGGCGAACACTAGCGACAATAAGTTATTTATTGATAAGTGGCTTATTTCATAATCCATTTGAATTGTTTTACATTACCGGTTTTAGTGTAACGCGTTGGCATAACATTATAGGTAATTTGGAACCTCATTATAATATTTCAATATTCAATTTGTAAGTTGCAACACATAATATAGGAAATTAAAGAAAATTTTGTTCGTAACACATAGGCGATTTCATCACATGCAGCAATAAATGTAACACAGATATAATTAAGCCATTATTGGGTAATTATCATTTCCGAATCAAATCTGCAGCTATTTCGCATCGTGTGAAACATTACTAAAATAATTTGTTTCGATTTTAATAAATGTTTTTTATTTTTATTGTTTATTGCTTAGATGGGTGGACGAGCTCACCCGGTGTTAAATGGTTACCGGAGCCATAGACATCTACAATGTAAAAGCCGCCACCCACCTTGAGATAAGAGTTCTAAGGTCTCAGTATAATTACAACGGCAGCCCAACCCTTCAAGCCGAAACGTATTACTGCTTTAAGGCAGAAATCATAAGAGGTCCTACCACCAATAATTAGGCAAATTATAATTTTGCGTGTTTGGTTTATATTACACGATGTTATTCCTTCACCGTGGAAGTCACTTGTGAATATTTGTTAAGTAGGACATCTTATTCTTTAGGCCACAACGACTTCCGGAATGACTGATTTGGGAATGATTATCGCAACGATTAGTCAAATTTAATTCAAAATGGAATTCAATTGGTGAAATGTAACTAGTGTCACTTAAAAGACCATTAAAATATAATAAACCGGAAAATTTATTTACAGTGTGTATCGAAAACTGGAAACTGTTTAATTAAGATAGCTATTTAATAGCCCTGCTGATTCTTTACATCTGATTAGTAAGTCACGATCGTAAATTATATACGCAATATAAAGTAAATAGAAACTTAACTTTATTAATTATTATATAATACAATTTAATATAAATATTTGATTTGAATTAATCAACGAAATATGCCCTTTACAAAACTTTATATAGGTACCTATATATTTATAATTGGCTTAGCAATTTTTTTAATTATAATACATTACGTGTTCGGGTGATGGTGCATCACAGTTTATTCATATCGAGTTTATATTAATTTAAGTGCATAACGTTCGCTGTCTTAACTATTTTTAGTTAACGTAATTTTTTTGTAGTTTTTAGAACTAAACAAAAAGTAAAAAGATCACTTACCCCAATCTGCGACGATGCCACGTTAGTGCGTTTGCGTCGCTTTGCTGCCAACGCGAGCAGCATAACCAACGTGAGGGAAGTAAGTGCCGCCATCAGCAGCGGCAACAGCAGGTTGTCTCCGGGAGAGTAGCTCTATAGAAAAAAAAAGCTGTTCAATCCAATGAGTCGAAGTGAATCCTTCAGAGGCACCTAGCCCACTGAGCTTCTCGTCAGATCTTCTCGGTAGATCGCGATCCCGACCGGTGGTAGATTTTGCGAAGTGCTACTCTTGCTAGGGCTAGTGTTAGTAAAATTTCTCAGGTTGAGTCCGTGAGCTCAGCTGGAATAGCCTCTTAGTCTATCAGCGAATAGGGACAGAGGCATTCCATCTCATTCTTTTGCAGGCTATATTTTTCCCTTCCTAATCTTTGGTAGTCTACGGAACCATGGTGGATCGCGATTCCGATCCGGTGGTAGATTCTGCGAAGTGCTACTCTTGCTAGGGCTAGTTTTAGCAAATTTTCTCAGGTTGAGTCCGTGAGTGTAAGTGAGCTCAGCCGGAATAGCCTCTTAGTCTATCAGCGAATAGGGATAAAAAAAATCAGAGGCATTCCATCTCATTCTTTTGCAGGCTATATTTTTTCCGTTTCTAATCGTTGGTAGTCTACAGAAGCATCCTAACCACGTGCAGAAGGGACTAAATCTTATAGATGTACATATGAGTTTTTAGTGTCGCCTTTAAATTTGATCGAGTTCCAAACAAGAACAGCTATAATACTAAAGAAATTTTCTCTTCAAAAACGAGATAAGCTCGTTTTTTCTGTGTTTTTTTCCCTAATGACTATTTGATATTACGAGGAAAGTGACAGGAATAACAATTGAATAGTTGAAGTATACCTATGAATCATGTTAGTGTGAATTCGTACTTTTCGTCGTAGAAACTCTATATCAGGGGTGGCCAACCGGTCGATCGTGGCTAAAGTTCAGTCGATCGTGGCAAGAAAAAAAAAACATAGAACAGACTTGCAACGTAATCATCATTTGCTGCACGCATCTTCTTCATCTTGTATCATTTGTTAATGAGCATTACGTCACATTATTTATCCTCTCTTCCACACAATAGTTTTCTTTTATTATATAATTTCAGGTTTATTTTAATCCTTTTAATAAAAGAAATTATAGTACCTACTTATTTGTATACTGAACTACATTGTTTCATTAAATTTCAAGAAATGGCATTTGTAGATCGCAGAGTGTTTCGTCAGTAGATCTTGGTACTAATCAAGTCGGCCACCCATGCTCTATATATCTACGAAGTATCTGTGGAGTCTGACCTATATTCAGCAAAATAGTTTCCGACAACAATCAGTACCAGAAAAGTATTCGTTGGCAAATTCACTTTTCCTTATGAGTTGATAACGTAAACATTACATGTTTAAGCAAGCCCGTAACTAAGTGTGAACGCGACATTTTCGTGATAATTAAATATTTATTACATTTCGTAGTTTTACGCTGTAAGTATAGACAGACACCAATGCCTTTCACTTTTCAATTTGTAATGATGGTATCATTACAAATTTTTTCTAGATGTTTGTTGAGTCTTAATGACAACTCGTCTTTTCGCATTAAAAGTGTATAATTTCCTAAAATATTCGAAATTGAGTTAATATGCGGAATCATTTGGTATATCACCAGTATTTTTCTCAAATACTGTCTAAAGAGCGTAGTTTATTTTTATTGTTTTAATTTACCTATGTTTTGACTACTATTAACAAAATTAATACATAATTTTATTTTACTTTAATAAACAGATATTGTAATTGGTAAAAAAAAATGTTGCAAAGATGATTAATATTAAAAATATCACAGGTTAAACCTTTAAAACTCTCTTGTAAAATTAGTAAGTTTTGAGATTATACAGTTTTAATGCGAGAAGACGAACTGTGTCTATTTAATATGAATCGCGTATATGTTATATTAGTTAAACGGATAAATGTAAAATTATTTTTATTTTATGTTTGTTTATACGTTTAATGATAGGCTACCGAAAATAAAAGCCGGCGTACTGGTGCCATGTTTTTCGGAGTTAAAACTCTGCAGGAAGATATCAACTTATATAAGTACCTAAATACGTACTACTTTCAGAATGAAGTATAGAAAGATAAACTATATTATTATATACCACCAATCTTCCGATTTCTTGCAGCGATGTAGTCATACGATATGGTTGGAAGGTTTGGATAGTCTCTTATTAATAAAATTGAGACTTCGACCCGTGATTTTAAAGCACATATCTATAAACTCCGGTAACCACTTAACACTAGGTTAGTTCTGAGCTTATATGACCATCTAGAGGAATAACATACCTACGAAAGAAACGCCTACCTAAGAAAAATGTAAGTAGGTACGTACTATAAAGCGTTGCATAAGAATGAAACTACACTTTATTCTCAATCATTCCAGTTTACAAGTTGCATAATATTTTTTTATGGAAACATAAACGTAATCCATATTCTACAAATGTAGAAACCATTGGCGTTTATGCTAGCAAAAGTCTAAGACGTATTCCTACAATAATACTTACCGTCCATTGGAAGTACGAAGAAGGGTCCACGAAAGGCCACCTGGCTCCATACCAATTGTCTTCGTTAGCTTTAGATACGGTGATTTCATCAGAATTTGACGCTGCAGGATCGGCACCAGGCTTTAGGGGTGGTAACGAAAAAACTTCGTCAACTTCTAAAGATTCTTTAAATTCCTCGTCATCATCTACAGATAACATCGTGTCCTTTAAATCATCCAAACTCGATATTTCAGTAGTTGCAGGAAACTCTGAAGTTACCGGTGATCGCATTAAAGTTGTTTTGGTTGAAATAAGAACATCATCAAACATTTTAACACTCTGTGTGGATTGCTTTTCGGTTGGCTTAAATGTTTGCGTGTAGTCCCTAACTAAGTTACTAAGTGTAAATGGTTCAGCTGTGATAGTTGGTCGTATTATTATATCCTTCTCCCAAGTTTTCATTGAAATTGTATTAGGTAACATACTGATATCACTGGAAGTTGTTGCAGCCGGCTGCGTCGGGTCATGTTTCGCAGAGGCTACTGGCAGAACGGTTGATGAAGACGTTGAACTCTTCCAAGACCTTAAAGCAGGCATTGTCCAAGGCGGAGTGGTAGCTCTTTCACCGGCTCCAGTAGAGGAAGTAGTGGAGACGATTGTTGACGTGTCTAATTCTGGTTTTGCCATTAGAGTAGAGATCACTTGCGGTAGCACTTTAAGATCTTTCTTTCGCGATTTTGCCATTTCTCTGCCGGCCGGTGCATTTGGAGATATAGTGACCATATCACGATGCTCTTGTTGTGTTCTTCGAGCGTACAGCGCACCGTTCAATATGTAAAGCGGAACTGCTGCCAGCCCTAACGCTATTATCACACCGAAAATTACCAAGAAGACATATTTCACTGTAGATTTCCTACGCGATCTTCGAATGTGGATGGATGGGCTATAGTCCCGACCTTTCCCTTTTAAGCCGCTGTTATTTAACACTTCTTCCGTTTGAGGGAGAATGGTATATTGTAAACTGTTTTCGCCATGTCTAACCGTTTTGTACATTTTGGTGCAGAGAATATACACAAAAATAACACTACTTTAAGATTATGTATTATTGCGATACCGAAATTCAATCACATGCTCAGCTCAAAAAATAATATCAAAGGAAGCTTTGTAAGATTTTAACTCGGTTCCGCAAGACATCAACGTCCAGAAATGTCGGCACGAGACATCACAGCTAGTCGCGCTTTGTGCTGTGTTGTAACCTGCTCTTTTCGAGGGGAACACAGCGCAGGCGCGATAACATCGAGCGGCGCGATTCTCCCTATCGCTGAACGACTCGTTGGCCCCAAATCTTTGAGGTTATAACAATTAAAAGCCGGCTTCTTTATCGTGATGCTCTATAATAACAACAACATTGTGAACTCATTAAATAGTGTCACCCTTGTTATTGCCAGAGCTATGATGCGTTATACACCTTTTTTTAATAACAAAAACCTGTTTGCCTTTTCTGTTGAATAAGTCGCAAAAAGGGCTATCGAAATAATCGAAAACCGATAAGGGTCAGTTGTGTAATGTAGCGTGTCAGAATTTGAGTGGAGCCGATTGCGTGCAGGCTTTTTTGTACATTTGTTGAGACTACTCAAGCTGTAGTACATATTTTAAGATTTCCTTAACGTAGGTACTGAAGACAATATATAACTTCGATTTTAGTACGCACATTTGAGTTCCATTGATATATTTGACCCATAGACACAACTCACTTCACGTCCTTACGGATCCATCAGATCCAATAACCTTTGCACTAGACGCCTTCAGCTCTAGGAGCAGGCTTAGGGACCGCGGTAACCGTACTCGTCGAACTCGACAAAGAGTTCGCCGTGCAACCTAACCCATGAATCAGCTCGCTGAGTTTCTCGCCGGATCTTCTCAGCGGGTCGCGATTCCGATCCGGTAGTAGATTCATTCGCGAAGCAGCTACTCTTGAGTTGTTAGGTCTCCTTCGGAGGCGCTCGGGCAGCTGTTAGCAAATCCCACCCCTCCTGGCTGAGCCTTTGCTCGCCCACCTGTCCTGGTGAAACTGGAAAGGCCTCCGGGCCACCAGTAANAAAAAAAAAAAAACTACTCACTGAGCTTCTCGCTGGATCTTCTCAGTGGGTTGCGTTTCCGATCCGGTGGTAGATTCTGCGAAGCACTGCTCTTGTTAGGACCAGTGTTAGCAACACTCCGGTTTGAGCTCTGTGAGCTCACCTACACGTCAAGGAGAAACTGAAATAGCCTTTCGAGGCTATCAGAATGGGTAGAAAAAAAAATATATTTAATGATAAATTCCTGGTATCATTTGCAAATAAACATTCAGATCTGGTTTCTCTTATAACATTTCCCAATTTCGTCTTTAAGAGAAAGAAACCCTAGTAATAAATCAGATCTAGAAATATATTGCTTGTTAGATTTGAAAATAATTTGTCTATATTTTAAAAACTACAAACACGCTAACAATGTTGAGCTTTGTTTCACAATTCTTCCTTCTGCGGAGAACTTGTGGAACTAGTTTAAATTGGTGCGTAGCTAATGGTCTAGGGCAGTGATTCTCAACCTTTTTTTTGTTGTGGCACATATTTAACGATTTCAAAATTTGGCGGCACACAAAAAAAAAAGATAAAAATTATTTACTTACTACAACACACTGCATAAATAGTTTATTAAAATATTTTAATATACGAAATAAACTAAAATATATTTTTTTTTTTGTGGATTTATATATATATTTATGTTTAAAATATTTTTCTTTTAAAATGATATAATTTAATAATATTAACATTATTATATATTCGCAAAATTTGGCGGCATACAAAAGTGCCGCGGAACAGTGGTTGAGAATCACTGGTCTAGGGCTTTTTCAAGTTACGTACCAATCGAAGCAATCGCTCTATTTAGACGAATTGACGAAATTATGCAGCAGTTCAAATTCTATGTTGAGATATTATTCCACAAAAAATGGTATGTTAAAACTAGTTTTGATTACTATTACTATTAAATTCGAAGTATTAAATGCTTTAATTAATGCAATGGCCAATTTTTATTCCCACAATCAGTTATATAACTCAAGCATTCAAATACATAATAGACCGGCCACGAATAAATTCTAATCAAGTTTAGAAAAAAGTCTACAAGCTGTTCGCATTAACATGTTTTTGCGGTCGGTCAAACATCGAACACACCATACGAATACTAATTCACTCGACCTTGAACAGAATCACGTTTCATTTCGAAATTGGTTTGTGAATGCGATATTTTTAGAATAAAAGTAAAAAGACAACGAATGAGCGAAATAAAAGGGTTGGTCGGCCGGTTGGACATTTTTTCTACTTATAGCTTCGAGAGAATTTTTAGTAAAATCTTAACCTTGCTTGGATCTTCTGATCAGAGTGTAAAACCTGAATTTTATATACATACTTCAAATATTACTTTTTAACAGTTTTTGTTAAAGTGGTATATCAATTGAAATTTATTGATCGAAAGACGTCTGAATAAATAGATTTACTAGATTCTAGATATACGTATGTTCGGGCTAGGTCTCGTAACGTTTTTAGATGTACAATAATTGACCGGGTGGTCTATGTATACCTTAGCTTATGAAGTAAAGTTTAATTAAAGTATCGTGTCTGACTGAACAAAAAGTTATGCAATAAGAAAATTTTCGCGGACGATTTAGTACGAGTTTAGTAATTGTCAAATAAAACGAGATCTTTATGGAATTCGTTAAAGTTCGTGAGAATGCCATTAAAATATTTCCATAAAAAAGGGCTCATTGAAATTTAATATTTTTATGTAGCTTTTTGAGGATCCACAAAGAAGTGGACGTCTTTTGACAGAAAACGTTAAGAAATAAATTTTAATTATTGAGAGAATAGGGTACGTGGGGTACGTGGATTAAGAAGGTTGCAGGAATGGATTTATACAAATCGCAGAATCTCACGGAGAAACTGAAGAAGTTTTATGTGAAATGTAGCAGTGACGTAATAGCAAAGTTTCGGGCTCAGCTCTTTAAGCAGCTCTCTGCAAAATATCATTAATGATGATGATTCTTAGATGAATCGTCTTGATACAGAAATAAAGCACCAGTCGAGTGTTTGGCTATTTAAAAAATTGATAAATTCCTTCGAATAGCGAATTACAATTATTTTGGGATACGATGGGATTTGAGAGCTGATTAAAAGAGTATGAGATATATATGAACAGTTTGTGTTGTATATGATGAAGAGTTTGTGACGAAATCCTTGCGAGAAGTTTTTAAAGCTGTAGGCAAGAGGTTACTGGACTATGGGGAAGTCTATTGCAGTCTTGCAATACAACAGCCTGCTTGCGCATTCACCGATCAAAGCAAATTCAATATCATCGTTTTGATCGCCAAAAGATGCATCGGCTGCATTTGAAAAAACAGTCGAGGATGTGTCTGGTGCAAATTCGAAAAAGCTTTTCGAAGTAATTTCGATATGTGAAACTAACTTTTTACAGAGGCTAATGCAACTCTTTGAAAATATTAATTGATAATAAGTGTTGTAAGTAATTCTGTTTTAGTAATTTCGCAAATCTTTCTGAGCGCCCTATGATATTAAATAAAGATGAAAAGTATAAGAGAAGAAAAGATAAATCATTTTATGGGCCTGGATAAATCATAAAAATAATAAAATAAAAATGTATGTTTATTTATCAGCTTTCCTTAAATGCCAATACCTAATAAATATTTGTCTTTGAGAACTTATGATAAGACCATATGAATTTTCAATTCGAGAGTAAACCGCATCACACAATAATTAATTTTTTGGGTTCTATAGTAAAATTACTGAACTAATCATGAAAACGACACATTCAAGTGATAACTTTGATTATAAAATGTAACATATTTTGGAAATAATATTTTTTATCGTATCGTTACAAGGAAAAGCACGTAGCCCACCTAGACCGTTGTGTAGGGCGTCATTAACTCTAGTACAATGACATCTACGAAGCTGCTATTTTCGTTTGCTTCTGGAACATGGCCAGCTCTGCGGGGCATCGCGTAAATAAACGTGCATGACAAGCGCATGCTGCGCTCTCCTCGGAACGTTTTCGACAAATTTAGTAACGGCCTACAGATCCTTGAAGCGAGGTACGGAGATAATTTACTGCACGAGTAACACTTGCTCTGCAGACAGCAGTGGAAAACGAGGGCAACGTTCAATGAGACTGCTGCCGAGATATATAAATTTATTTGAAATTAAACAAATGCGTATTACATTTTTATATGTCGACCTATTAAATCTTAACACAAGCTCATTGCTAACCATCATTGTAAACTAAGTTCAGTGTTTACAAACCAAACGCATATAAACGAATAATTTAAAAGTTCTAAACCACTCGATTTTTTTTTATTCCTACCTAAGCTGATAGCCTTGAGAGGCTATTTCAGCGTAACCTTAGCTAGTAGGTGAGCTCACGGGGCTGAAACCAAAGTGATGCTAACACTGACCTTAGCAAGAGCAGTGCTTCCCAGAATCTACCATCGGATCGGAAACGCGACCCACTGAGAAGATCCGGCGAGAAACTCAGTGGGCACCCACTCGATATATAAAGACGTAAACTAAATACTCCTCTAGTAATAAATTTTGGTACCAACCCACGATGAGAGTGCAACATTTAGCAACAATCGACATAGCTATTTTAAAATAACCTACCCAACCTTGAGGGTTCAAAGCACATCCTGTCAGCGAGTTTTACGAGGTTCGCCTAAATAAACATTATCATGAACACGTGTTCAAGCGCTACATTGGACGATGCCCGGCGCACTGCACTCCACAAAAACTTTTGTAATTTACAAAAACATTATTTATTGCCAAACGAATATTTCTCTTTCTACCACTTTAAACAATCAGGGTTTTCGAAAAATCGTTTTTAAACAGCTTACTACCTGCTGCGAGGGACAAGAATCGTTCTTGCCACGGAGAACTTTTTCTACGTATGCTTTCTAAATATTATTTCGTCTTGTTTTCCACAATCTCCGGGGACTTGAGATAAGTATCACGCTTATCTTATTTGTGAAGTATACACACTCAAGAATCTTAAGATAAGTCTATGTTTAAGTTTGATTTTAATAAAGCTGTCACCTCAATTAAGTAGGCCTAAAGATTTACTTAGAAGTAAAATTTTTATGATAACAATTACAGAAATAGTTTAGAAAAAAATAAAATAGTATCTTTAAAGAAACGTATAATAGAAAAATTTACGGTAGTTAGCATAAACTCAAATGTATCTACATATAATACCTTATTC